AGGTCTTTCACTGTGTCAATGACTAAACTATTACTTTTTGTTTACTTGACTGTTTTCCTTTCTTTCTACATTTTCTCACTTCTCTGATTAAGTTCACTCTTCAGAACTTGGGAAAGGCCTAGGACACTAAAACTTTTCTAAAAACAAAAGGCAGAAGACAAGGGGGTCTGTCTCAGGCAAGGCCCTATGGATCCTGCTCAATTTCATTACCATGTCATACCAGGGATTACTTTTTTTTAAGGTTTTTTTTTTTTAACGTGGGCCATTTTTTTTTTTCAAATCTTCACTGAATTTGTTACAGTATTATTTCTGTGTTGTGTTTTGGTAGTTTGGCCATGAGGCACGTGGGATCTTAGCTCTCCAATCAGGGATCGAAACCGCATCCCTGGCAGTGGGAGGTGACGTCTTAACCACTGGACCACCAGGGAAGTCCCACCAGGGATTACTTGAGGGCTGTGCCACATTACCGACAACTCTGTCTTGCTCGGAAGGCACTATTCCCCATGTTTTCCCACCATACCGTATGTTTTTTCCCCCCTCTCCAAACCCTGTTCTTTGAAAACAATGCAGATTGTCTTAAAGAAATGCCCCTCACAAGAGCCCTTGATAGCACAGACGGAGGTGTCATGTGATAAAGCAAAGACACTGACAACCTGGAAAAGTTGGAAAGTGATTTTGAAGAATATGCTCTGAGGATGAAGATGCTGAGGAAGCCTTAACTGATTCATTGTATTTCTTTGTTTGTAGACAAAGCAGCATTATATGATGAAAATCTTGAGACTCTTTAAGAGGATATAAACTAAGGGGTGGTGGTCTAGTCATTAAGAATCTGCCTTGCAATGCAGAGGACTCGGGTTTGATCCCTGGTGGGAGAACTACAATCCCACAGGCCTCAGAGCAACCAGGCCCATGCAGCGCAACTGCTGAAACACACACGCCCTGGAGCCTATGAGCTGCAACTACTGAGACAGCCTGCCACAGCTGAAGAGTCCATGCACCACAACAAAAAATCCCACACAACTGAGACCAGACAAAGCCAAATAAAATATAAACTAAAAGAAATGAAATAAAAATTTTAAGTGATCAAAAGCATTGTCTCAGTTTATTTGCCACGTTTACCCCCTTAGAACACAAATTGTCAGTGAAGTTAATACTACCCTCAAGAAGATGAAAATCGGTTTGCGGGAGTGGGGGACAAGAAAACAAATATTTCAATAGGCCACAAAGTGGCCCTCCAAATCTTAAACCTCCCTGACGAAATCTTAATTCATCAGTATTTAACTTTCTCTTTAAATTAAAATGGTCTCTTTAGGAGGTAATAATGGCGAGTAAAGGTTGAGAAACACTTTCCTAAGATTTATAAAATAATGCATAATCTTTATAAAAAGATTTATAAAAGTAATCCTCTTATTTGAGAGGATGGCCTCACAGTGGGTGACAAGGGTCGAACACTCAGTATGCATTGGATTACGTTTGTGCCTCAGTTTCTCTACCTATTAATATAAAATTAGGATGTTAATTAAAATTAGGGTTAAGGTTAGGGTTTTATTAATATATAATTAGGATGATCAAACCAGTCCATCCTAAAGGAAATCAGTCCTGATTATTCATTGGAAGGACTGATGCTGAAGCTGAAACTCCAATACTTTGGCCACCTGATGTGAAGAACTAACTCATTGGAATAGACCCTGATGCTGGGAAAGATTGAAAGCAGGAGGAGAAGGGGACAACAGAGGATGAGATGAGATGGTTGGATGGCATCACCGGCTCAATGGACATGAGTTTGAGCAAGCTCCCGGAGTTGGTGATGGACAGGGAAGCCTGGCACGCTGCAGTCCATGGGGTTGCAGAGTTGGACACGACTTAGCGACTGAATTGAACTGAGGATTATTTACATAAAAGGGTGACTGTGAGAATAAATGAGGTTACCCATATGAGTTCATGTAAGTACTACCTGTTGTTGTTGTAATCATCATTTTCATTTTATAAAAGAGGGAAGAGAAGTTCAGAGAAGTCAGGCCACTTGCTCCAGGACACAGCCTTGGAAGTGATAAAAAGGGAGCTCCTAAGCTGCTGGGTTGCCTAGGGGAGGACAGATCTTCCCACCTGAGTCTGTCCTGTCCCTCCCTGAGAAGTTGGTGCTACCTGGTTGCCCCCATCCGCTGGCATGGGAAAGCTGTTCCTTCCTTGGCGATCTCATCAATTCCAGCTAGCCAAAGGTTGAGCCTATGGCTGGAGAATTGGGCAGTCGTTTGCTGCCCCCTGCAGGTAGAACGGGAAAAGGCTGGCATCTTGCCCTCTTGTCCGGCCCCCTCTAGATTTATGGGAGCTTGTTTCTTATTTCTCTTCACTTTTTCTCCCTCTCCACACTGCTAATCCCCTCCCAAAAAAGTCCCTGGCACGGTTGGGGCAACAGAAGTACAAATTTAAATGCATAAACGCAGATACTCCTGGACTCAGCAATTCCACTGCTACAGATTCAGGCTGCTTGCAAAATCAGGTAAAATTTATGGGCACGTAGATGGTCAACGGGGAGGGCGTCACTCGGCCACCAGACATCCAGCTTTGAGAAAGGTGGAGTAGAGGTGTACCTGCTTTCTTGTGAAGAGTTTCGAGACACTTGATAAATGAAAAATCAGAGACAGAAATAAAAGAACATCACACAGATATATACATATACATATATATAGAGAGAGAGAGGCATATACACACTTCTAGGTTTCCCAGGTGGCTCAGCAGTAAAGTATCCACCCACAGTGTGTGAGATGTGGGTCCCATCCCTGGGTCGGGAAGTTCTCTGAGGGAAGGAAATGGCAACCCACTCCAGTATTCTTGCCTCAGAAATCCTATGGATAGAGGAGCCTGGCAGACTACAGTTCATGGGGTCGAAAAGAATCAGCCATGACTTAGTGACAATACAACAACCAACACACATTTCTGTGCTGCAAAGAATCAAAATGAACGTGTTAATCGGTTTGGAAGGAGATGGGAAGTTTCTTCTCTTTTGCTTGTTTTTTCTACTCTTGTTTTCCTTTTTCTTTCTTTCTTTTAACCTTTTCTGTACTGCATGGTTTTCTTACATGGCGCATGCACACATATGTGTGTGTGTGTGTCACACACACACACACACATATATTTATTTTTAATGTTAGCAGAAAATTATGGGAGATTTTAGGTTTCTTCCCTGTTTTCCTCAGGATTAAAAATTCAACAATAAAAAATTTTAACTCAGTACATGGAAACAAAAAAGAAAAAAAATCCATAAAAGTAGTCATGATATTCTGGTAGAGAAAAGAGTCAAAGAGAATGCAAGCATGGAGTAAGATCCCTTTTTACTTTTTTAAATTACAGATAAGAGATTGAAATAAAGAAATTAACACAGCAACAGATTTTTTTTCCCTAGGTGGGTGTGATTTCTACTGTCTTCTTAGGTTTTTCTGTATTTTTTTAAATTACATATTCCACAATTAATATTTGTGTATCTTTTGTAATCTGATAAAAAATAAATAGATGCACAACACTGTGAACATATTTAAAGCTAGTGAGTTGTGCCAAAGAATTGATGCTTTTGAATTGTGGTGCTGGAGAAGGCTCTTGAGAGTCCTTTGCACAGCAAGGAGATCAAACCAGTCAATGCTTAAGGAAATCAACTCTGAGTACTCATTGAAGGAATGATGCTGAAGCTGAAACTCCAATACTTTGGCCACCTAATGCAAAGAACTGCTGCTGCTGCTGCTAAGTCATGTCAGCCGTGTCCGACTCTGTGCGACCCCATAGATGGCAGCCCACCAGGCTCCCTTCCCTGGGATTCTCCAGACAAGAATACTGGAGTGGGTTGCCATTTCCTTCTCTAGTGCATGAAAGTGAAAAGTGAAAGAGGAGTCGCTCAGTTGTGTCCGACTCTTTGCGACCCCATGGACTGTAGCCCACCAGGCTCCTCCGTCCATGGGATTTCCCAGGCAAGAGTACTGGAGTGGGTTGCCATTGCCTTCTCCATGCAAAGAACTGACTCATTGTAAAAGACTCTGATGCAGGGAAAGACTGAAGGCAGGAGAAGAAAGGGACGACAGAGGATGAGATAGTTGGATGGCATCATAGGCTCCATGGATATGAGTTTGGGCAAGCTCAGGGAGATAGCGGCAGACAGAGAAGCCTGGTATGTTACAGTCCATGAGGTGGCAGAGTCAGACACGACCTAGTGACTGAACAACAAAACAACACAAAAGTGACAATACTCGTGAAAGGGTACAATTTAAATGGGTGCATTTTACTGTCTATAAATTGGACCCCAATTAAATCGATTTTAAAAAGTATTTTAAATATCACAAAAGTATTTTACATACTATCCTCATTTACCTGAAAAACTAACTTTTATTTATACGGTTACAAAATTAGTTTATCCATTGAACGCTCAAATATGGCAGTGACAGAGAACACAATATCCAAATAGGCGCAAACCACTCAAGAAAACGTTGTTGTGCTGTGCTTAGTCTCTCAGTCACGTCCGACTCTTTGCGACCCCAAGGACTGTGGCCCACGAGGCACCTCTATCCATCGGGATTCTTCAGGCAAGAATACTGGAGTGGGTTGCCATGCCCTCCTCCACGGGATCTTCCCAAGCCAAGGATGGAACCCAGATCTCTCGCATTGCAGGCGGATTCTTCACACTCTGAGCCACCCGGGAAGCCCCAAGAAAACGCTGGGTTTTGGGAAATACGGGCTGTGTTCAATTGGCTTCCCAGGTCCAGGCGACCAAGGCGGGGGAAATCGGGGGCGGGAGCCAAAGTCGGCAATATTGGCAGGAGACAGGACACAGATACTCGGTCGAGCTTGACTCCCCCGGCCAGCGGCCCGGAACCCGGAAGTGTGGCTTAAGTCAAGGTTCCAAGACCGCATGCGCACCGCCTAGATGACCAATAAAAACGAAGGGAGGCTGGAATGGGGGAGGGGCTATCAAACAGGAAGTGTGACGTTTTACGCCCCGAACTTTCCAGGAGGCCATGGAGGCCTACGAGCAGGTCCAAAGGGGGCCCCTGAAGCTGAAAGGCGTCGCAGAGCTCGGAGTGACCAAGCGGTAAGTCCTGAGATCCCAGGAGACCCTGTATTCTCTTCTTTAAGCCTCTCCCTGAGACCTCCGGGTGTTGCCCTCTGACGCGCCGTTATCCACCTTTCGTACCCGTCTCATCTTCTAGGAAGAAGAAAAAGAAAGACAAAGACAAGGCGAAACTCCTGGAAGCGATGGGAACGAGCAAAAAGAACGAGGAGGAGAAGCGGCGCGGACTGGACAAGCGGACACCGGCCCAAGCGGCATTCGAGAAGATGCAGGAGAAGCGGGTAAGGCGGGTGGGAAGCCTAGGGATGCCCCGCATCGCGGATCGGGGTCTCCCTGGATGGATTCAGAGGCAAGACCTGGGACGCACGGGGGAGGGAGAGCGGTCAGAAAGGACCTTAATTCCGGGGAGAAGACAGTGCGTGAGTAAGAGAGGAAGAGTTCACGGCGGGAAAGCTCCGAGGACAAGAAGGTTCTTCGGCCAGAGCGGACCACAGAGGGGAGAGACAGAGACCCAGGTTTGCATTCCAACGCTGTCGCTCACTTGCCCCGTGACACTGGGTCAGTGACTCACCTCTTGGTGCCTCAGTTTCCAGAAATATAAGGGTCAGGATAATGCTGTCTCCTAAGAGGGATGGAAACTTTGCATGAGGTAACGTAGATAAATGGCACTTCGTCTGGCATAAAGTAAGTGCTCAGTTGATGTTAACAGTTGACGTTAAATGAGCATACTCGCTGCTATAAGTCACCACATAGTGTTTCCATGACAACTTTGGCAGCTTCAAATATGTTGTATTTTCAAGATCTGATGAATGATTTCTCTTAATGTTAAATATTTAACAAATTTGGGTGACGGAAGGATAGGTCAGCGTGGGATAGGTAAGTTCTGCCCATTATGCTTGGGGGAGGGAGTAATCAGTCTAGGTCCTGAACCACCGGGATGCTGTTTTCTCCCCAACCTCCCCCCTCAAGAAGACTTTCAGCAGTGTTTAGAGACTTTTTCCTTCATTTTTTTACAACTTGGGTGAGTTGGTATATGGGGAAGGGTGCTGCTAGTGCTTGAGACAGTGTGTTCCCCACAAAGATTGATCTGACCCAAAATGTCATTAGTGCCCAGGCTGAGAAACACTAACCCTGGTCTTGGTGATTTGGCCCAGTAATATCAGGAAAAGTTAACTCGTTACTTCCAGGCCTAATTGAGTCATAGGAGAGAAAAGAGAGAGCGAGAACTCACTGGCTTTGATAAGATTGCTTCCCATTCTGTCTCTGCTGCTCTTGATGATGTAACTCTGGGCAAGCTGGCTCACCTCCCACACCTTAATTTCTTCATCTCTATGGTGGATTCAAGTCTCAACATCAAACAAATAGGTTTGTGATGAGGATTTAACAAGTGAATGCACTTAAGCCGCTTCCTTAAGGTTCTAGTCAGAGGCAGGGCTGGGATTTTACTGCTGGAGTTGGGATGGGATGGGAGAGAGAGGCTTATACAACTCTCAAAGTGACCAATAATGGCCCCTCAGAGTAGGGCAGCCATAATGGAAGTAATGGGAGGTATCAGGTTTGGGATAGGTTTTGAAGGAAGAACAGCCAGATAAGCTGTTGGGTGGGGTGTAGGTTGGGAAAGAGGAATCAAGGGTGATCAAAATTTTTGGTGGGAGAAGCTGGGTGAATGGAGGTGCTGGTTTACTGAAATTGGAAGGACTGTAAGTAAAACAGGTTTCTATAAAGTGGGGGAGCAGGATCTTAGTTTTAGGGACTTGTTGGGTTTCCCAGGTGGCACTAGTGGTAAAGAATTCACTTGCTATTGCAGGAGCCGTGGTACCAATACAGGAGACATAGACCCAGTCCCTGGGTCAGGAAGATCCCCTGGAGTAGGAAGTGGCACCCCACTTCAGTATTCTTTATATATATATAATTTTTTTATTTTTGACTGTAATGGGTCTTCATTGCTGTGAGGGCCTTTTGTCTAGTTGTGACCAGCAGTGGCTACTCTTCCTTGTATTGTGAGGGCTTCTTATTAAAGTGGCTTCTCTTATTGCCCCACTCCAGTATTCTTGCCTGGAACATTCCATGGGCAGAGGGGCCTGTTGGGCTACAGTCCATGGGGCAACTGAGCAACAGAGTGTGTGCCTGCACACACACACACACACACACACTCTCTCTCTCTCTCTCTCTCTCTCTCTCTCCCTCCAGCGGTAATGAATCTGCCTTCCAGTGCAAGGGACGTGGGTTTCATCCATGGTCAGGGAACTAAGATCCACATATCTTGGAGCAGCTAAGGCAACGTGCATGGCAGTGAAGACCCCGAATGCCGCAACAAAGACCCAGTGCAGCCGAAAAAAGAAAAGATCTCGGTTTTAGAAGTTAAATTTGAGTGCCTGTTAAAAGTTCAAGTAGAGAATTCTCATGGACATTCTTTGATACCCGAATCTGTAGTTTGGAGGAAAGGTCTGGGTAGTTGTTCTGGGACTGCATGAGATCCTTCGAGGAGGCATAATGACAGAAGAGGTCTAGGATCAGACCTCTGATGATCAGAGGGTGGGAGAGAGGAAATTGCAAAGGAGCACAGGACGGAAGGATACCAGGATGCCCTTAGGAGCTGAGTGGAGAAAGTGTTCCAAGAGGAAGAAGCGGGACTTCCCTGGTGGTCCAGTGGTTAAGGATCCAAGTGCCACAACTAGAGAGAAAGACCATACACCACCATTAAGAGCCCACCCTCACACAGCCATAAATAAATCTGATTTACCCTGAATTCCTTAAAAAAATTTTTTTTTAAATTAGAAGTGATCAGCTGCACTCCAAGCCATTAGTTGGCATTTGTGATGGGGAGGAAAGGAAGACTGATTTGAGTGGATCCAAATGGGGGTGGGGAAAGGTAGAGGTGGAGACAAGGATTTGAAACAACTCTCGGGAGATTTGCTGTCAAAGGGAATGGAGAAACAGTCCTCCAGCTGGAGGGTGGAAGATCAAGGTGAAATTTTTCTTGTTGGAAATGAAGTACTCCTGAGGGTTTTGTTTGGTGGAGGAGAGGGGCGTGGGGGAGCTGGTGCGGGCAAAGCAAGGACGGTTGGGAAATGCAGATTCCCTCGTGGAAGAGTGTTGGATTGAGCCCAGTGGGCGTTATAGGCTGGACAGCTCCTAGAACGAAGGCTCCAGCCTGGTGGAAAGGGTCAAGGCCTGACATCTCCAGCTCCATCACCCACTCTTCACTCTGGTCCTGGCTTTTTCTTGTCTATGAAGTGGGGTATGTGACAGCACCTGTGATAGCCTGTGAATTTAGTGCATGGAGTGGGAGGAGGGAGGGCAGAGCCCCGCCAAGTGCCTGGCATTGGTGACAGCTGGTCAAGTCAGCATGGCCTCTTGTGAGGAGCCATGGACCCCACGTAGGCTCACAGCAGGAAGAGGCAGGGATGGACAAAGCAGATACTTGAGAGAGAGTGGGAGTTTCAGCTAGGTGGGAGCCAACTGGATGTAGAGGGGGATGAGGAGGCAGCAAAGGAGACAGCCAGGTGGCAGTCTACAGTCTATCTCAAGCTTCCCTGGGTTGACTGGGTTTAGTGGGGTGGTTCTTCTGCTGGCCTCCCTGGGAACCTGGTATAGTCAGATGGCAGCTGGAGCTGGAGCCCCAGCCAGGCTGGAACATGCTTCACCATGGCATGTCTGGTACCTCAGTGCTCCTTCCAGGACATGCCTCCCCACATGTCATCTCATTCTCCAGGTCCTTTCCAGCAAGGTCATCAGACGTCCCGCATGATGACTAGCTTCTAAGAACACAAAGCAAAAGCTGCTAAATCTTCTTATGGCTTCAGCACTGGCACTGAATTCTGTTAAGTAAACTGTGTCACGGGACCAGCCCAGAGTCAGCATGGTAGGGGACTGCACCAGGACACCAGTACCAGGCAGCTGGGTTCATTTGCAGGGGAGGTGGGGGAGCACCACAGTGAGTTGGCCGCAGTCACCCAGCTAGTAAGTGAGAGAGCCGGATGTGGCCCCAGGTCTGTCTGACCCTGCATCCCATGCTTTTAACTCATACCAGCTACCACTGGTGTTAAGCACAAGGAATGGGGGAGGTCATGGTGGTACAGGATGGGTGTTCCAGAATTACACTTGTCAAGGTGATCTGGATCTTGAAGCCCTCTTGACACTGTGTACCATCACTCAGGAGGCTCAGTGGTAAAGAATCCACCTCCAGTACAGAAGATATAGGAGACACGGGTTCAGTCCCTAGGTTGGGAAGATCCCCTGAATGAGGAAATGGCAACCCACTCCAGTATTCTTGCCTGGAAAATTCCCATGGACAGAGGAGCCTGGTGGGCTATAGTCCATGGGGTCGCAAAGAGTTGGACGTGACTGAGCACACACACATTACCTTCCTCATTTATCATCCTTCCTCAGACTCCTTCTGAGACTTTCCTTTTTCTGCAAACTGGGAAAGCAGTCAATTGCCCAAGGACACAGGAAGCGCATATACAGCTCCCAGCAGGGTCTCCTTAAGTCAGTGCTAGTATGTCTCCCGCCACTCAGACCAAAGGGCAGCGGATGCAAGTTCTTAGTGGGGCATGTGATGGCCAGGCATCCCTGTTGGACCCTCCTGAGGAGAGTCGAGGGAGGGGTGGGGTGTACATCCTGAGACCTCCAGCCATGCTGAGTGTCAGAGCCAGGCTGGACCGGGCTCCTGTCTTCCACCCGGTGCTGGCCTGGCCTGCACCAGGCGTGTGACTCACCTCCACTTCTTTTCTCTCTTCAGCAAATGGAAAGGATCCTGAAGAAAGCATCCAAAACCCACAAGCAGAGAGTAGAGGTGAGTCACGTGCTGCTGGGGGAGACTGAGCCACATAGGGGCCAGGCTGGGCCGAGAGGCTGGAGCCTGGCAGAGGAGCCACTGGAGTGCTGGCAGATTTACCCAGCCTCCCCAGGGTCATTTAAGGGCAGGGCATCCAGAAGGCCTGGCAGGGTGGATTTGAGCGGGGGTGGGGGTTCACTGCAGAGAGACAGAACGTGGAGAAAGGGGACTGGGCACTGCTGACATGGTATTTCCCCTCGGCTTTCCCAGGACTTCAACAGACACCTGGACACGCTCACAGAGCACTATGACATTCCCAAAGTCAGCTGGACCAAGTAGCAGGCCCACCCCGGGTACCGGGTGGCATCAAGGAGCTGCAGAAGGCAACGTCGCGGTTATGTTTGGGGCCTTGGTATTTTCTAGAAACATTGTTGTGCACACATCCTTGCGTCTTCTGCTGAGACAGTGCTTTTCAAAGCTGTGTGTCCTCATTCTGGAACTTGATTAAAGTAAGACTGTCCTTTTCCTCAGTTTTGATTTCTCAGTAGTGCATAGAAGAGAGACCTCTTTAGTTTGGAAGGTTTGTCCAGAGATGAAGGTTATTTCTGGGTAAGTGCCATGGAAAAGTGTTCTTAACCCCAAATTGCCTCTGACTCTTTGACAGCCAGCCAGCTGGCTTTGCGTGGATAAAACTGACTCCAGAGAACAAAGAGCTGATGTCGTCACAGCCCTGAGTGTGCACATCCCTGTAGGGCCCTGCCTGGCCTGCCCTTCTAAGTTCCTTCTGGCTTGGAGCTTGTTCTCTCCTGGGGCCTGGAGAAGCCACTTGCAGCTCCGTAGCCTTCAGACTGCTTCCTCCCGGCCTATGAGGCCAGACAGCCTGGGAAGCAGAACCACCACCTAAGGCACCGATGGGGCACACACCTTGTCCCTTTCTGATCCTGTGGCCGGCGTGTAGCCTCTTCTCCCAGCATCCCCATTCCAGACATGGGTCTAGTGGGTGTCACCATGGCAGACATTGCCGGTCAACACAACTTTCTTTGTAAGGGAACCCAGCCAGACACAGCCTGCCATTTTACCCTCAACTGTGGGCTCCAAGCAGCCCCCCATATTTATTCAGAGTTGGTACTTTCCACGTTTGGCATTCACCAAGGCAGAGCCCCAGCACAGACAGACGTGCACACAGCTGAAAGGAAGGACTCGGGTCCCCATGCTGCAGAGCCAGGATCTTCGAGGGCCTCTGTGTGCCCACCACATGGGGATCAAATTGCATTTGCTATTGGGAGAGAGTGTGCTGACAGAGATGCTGAAGGAATAAGAAAGGGAAGAAAAATCAAAGGACTGCCACATGTGGAATGCAGAATAAAACAAAAAAGTTATTAAATATAAGTCTGAGTAGCTTAATTATAGGCTGTCTGAGTATCACTAGAAATGTTGCCTCTTGTATTATCACTCACAAAGAATGTACATACTGCAAAACCACTATCCCCCCTTCAATTTGGAAAAATTAGATGACACATGTTTTCACCTGTGGTTTGCAACCCACCTAAGGGAGGTGACATACTGTCTCATTAGCAGTGGCTCTTTGGGGCAGATTCCCCCATTGACTGGAAGGTGCTTTCAGGCTTTTACCACCCATGGGTCAGCAGTTGGGGTCTTCAAGCATGATGTGGTGGTGCTGTGAAAAGCATGCACTGACAGTGGGGAAGACAGCTATTCCAATTCTCCCTGCCTATCAGACCACTCCAAAACAGAGAGACTGAAAACAACGGGATTTCTCTCTCATGATTCTGTGGGTTGACCAAGCTCAGCTGGGAGGTTCTGCTTCATGCGGTGTAGTTTACTTCATCTAGGTTACAGTGACTTGCATGGTGCCAGAGGTCTTCCAGAATCTCTTCTCGTAACCTATTCCGTGGGGCCAACACAAGTCACTGCGAGACCCTCTCTGGGAGGGAACTACACAGGGCGTGGACAACCAGGAGATGTGGTTTATTGAGGCCCCACAGTCTACTACAGTGGCTCAAAATCTATGGTAGGCTCCCCTGGGGAGCATTAAGAACCACTGATGCTAGGACTTCCCTGGTGGTTCAGTGGTTAAGAATCTGCCCTCAGGTGCAGGAGACGTGGGTTCCATCCCTGGTTGGGGAACTAAGATCCCACATGCTTTGGGGCAGCTAAGCCCAAGCGCCACAACTAGAGAAGTGTACACACCCAACAAAGAGCCTAAACCCTGCAAGAAAGACCCAGGGCAGCCAGAATCAAAAAACACTCCGGTGCTTTGTGGGTGGGCTTCCATCATTGAGGTTTTTCAAGCTCCCCAGGTGACCCCAGTGTGCAGCAAAGTTTGAGAGATTCCAGTCTAGCACAATCAGCATGGTCTTTTTCTGAGATGTCACAGAGTTCACACAGTTCATTGACTGCGGCTTCCCTGGGGCTCAAACAGTAAAGAATCTGCCCACAGTGCAGGAGACCCAGGTTCAATCCCTGGGTCAGGAAGATCCCCTGGAGAAGGTAATAGCAACCAACTCCAGTATTCTTGCCTCGAAAATTCCATGGCCAGAGGAGCCTGGCAGGCTACAGTCCATGCGGTCGCAAAGAGTCAGACACAACTGAGCAACTGGTCCTATACATTCACTGCCAAGGATGAAATTCAGGAGTGATTCAAATTCCTCCACATATGGAGAAAAGTAGGTTACAAGTAATTTATGTGTAGTGTTGGGGGCTACACTGGTGGCTCAGACTGTAAAGAACACCTGCAATTTTGGAGATCTGGGTTCAATCCCTCGGTTGGGAAGATATGGGGAAGGGCATGGCAACCCAATCCAGTATTCTTGCCTGGAGAATCCCAGGAACAGAGGGTCCTGGGGCTACAGTCCATGAGATTGCAGAGTCAGGCACACTGAGCAACTCAGCCCAGCACACATGCTGTGACAGTACTTTTGGCACCTGGAAGGCTGTTTCCTCAAAAGATTCTGTCCTCCTAGCCCTGCTGACGCTGTATTAAACATCTAAAATGCCCAGTTGCCACTGTTCAGTCGCCAGTCCTGTCTGACTCTTTACAACCCCATGGACTGCAGCACACCAGACTTCCCTATCCTTCACTATTTCCTGGAGTTTGCTCGAACTCCTATCCATGGAGTCGATAATGCCATCCAACCATCTCATCTGCCTCCCCTGTCTCCCCCTGCCTTCAACCTTTCCCAACATCAGGGTCTCTTCCAGTGAATTGGGTCTTCACATCAGGTGGTCAAAGTATCAGAGCTTCAGCATCAGTCCTTCTGATGAAAATTCAGGGTTGATTTCCTTTAGGATTGACTGCTTTGCTCTCCTAACTGTCCAAGGGACTTTCAAGAGTCTTCCAGCACCGCAGTTCGAAAGCTTCAATTCTTCGGTGCTCAGCCTTCTTTATGGTCCAACTGTCACAGCCATATATGACTACTGGAAAAGCCATAGCTTTGACTGTATGGATCTTTGTCAGCCCAGAGCAAGCCTGAAAAGGAAATGCTCCATAATGGGAGTTGTTACCTCTCCTGGGTGGTTTTTCTTTTTGCCTTATGTTTTTGTCATTTCCTCAGTTTTTTTTTTCAGTGAGATATTTGTAATTAGAAAAGAGACATGTTTTTCTAAAATTTACTGCAATAAATTAGGCAAGAATGAGGCCAGGTAAAATATGATTTCTTAAGACAGTTGGTGTCAAAAATGCTCTCTTGTCTGCATTGTGCAAGAATTCTTCCAGCCCAGGATTCACTTGATAATCTTTAAAGATTTGTCGGCAAAATCTTGGCTGTTTGCATACCAGTGCCAAACAGAAATACTGAGACAGTTATGGAGGAGAAAGAGAGAGTGGCTTTATTACTTTGCCAGGCAAAGGGGGAACACAGTATGCTAGCATCTCAAGAACTATGTCCCACCCCACGGCCACCGGCCCCCAGTGAGCAGGGAAAGGTTATATAGTCAGGCTGCATATGTGATAAGGATCAAGGCGGTAACAGTCTTGTATTTTTTCTTCTGCAGGTGGTTCATCTTCTAATCTTGTTGAGTCTCTGTCTCAGGTGGTTTTTTTGCTGCTTCTTTGATTAGCAACTCTTCTGCCCTTTGGAACTGAGAGAAGGTCAGGGAGGCCAAGAGCTCTGCCTACAAGGAATGGGGGACAAAAGGACCTCCATGCCCTGGAGTCCCACAGGGCCCTGCTCAGCATCAATTCTACTTTTCTTTTCTGTATTTTCTTATAATTACATCTCTACCCCAAGTATAGTATATATAATCACAGAGTTGCAAAAACTCTCTTTCAAAACCCAAAATGGAGGTAATAGGGAAGATAAAAAGATAAATGAGACGCAGGCAGCCTGGGTAAATGGTTCTGACACTGCTGCTGGACTGGGCCCAGGGTACTGTGATGGTTCATTGGGATGAAATGCAGGGATTTTCTAGTGTTCATAAAGCAAAAGAGATATAATTGAATTAGATTAATCAGGAATCACAATCTGCATTACCCACACTAACCGCCAACTAGAGTAATCACGTTTTTTTTGCCTAGGTTCAGTGGGGTGTGGTGTTCAAGAGATCATTTCAGGCAGTAAACTGGCACACTTGTTCATTGACAAGTGTTAACACTGACAGCTGACAGGCACTGTTATAAGACTCGACTTAGGGCCATTAAGAGAGTTTGTCTGACCTCTTTCCAAGTAACCACCTGCTTTGTTGCCGTTGTTCAATTGCTAAGTTACATCCAACTCTTTGCAACCCCATGAACTGCAGCAAACCAGGCTTCCTCGTCCTTCACTGTCTGCCCAAATTCACGTCCATTGAGTTGGTGATGCCATCCAGCCATCTTACTGCTCCCTATAAACCTACACAGCGTTTTTAAAAGCAGAGACATTTCTTTGCCAACAAAGGTCCGAATAGTCAAAGCTTTGGTTTTTCCAGTAGTCATGTATGGATGTGAGAGGTGGACCATAAAGAAGGCTGAGCACCAAAGAACTGATGCTTTTGAACTGTGGTGTTCGAGAAGACTCTTGAGAGTCCCTTGACCTGCAAGGAGATCCATCCGTCCATCCTAAAGGAAATCAGTCCTGAATATTCATTGGAAGGACTTATGCTGAAACTGAAGGTCCAATACTTGGGCCACCTGATGGGAAGAACTGACTCATTGGGAAAGACCCTGATGCTGGGACAGATTGAGGGCAGGAGGAGAAGGGGACAACAAAGGATGAGATGGTTGGATGGCATCACCGACTCAATGGACCTGAATTTGAGCAGGCTCCGGGAGTTGGTGATGGACAAGGAAGCCTGGCATTGCTGCAGTCCATGGGGTCGCAGAGAGTCGGACACGACTGAGCGACTAAACTGATAAAGGGTGTCACAATTGGTGACTGTATATTTGTTTCCTAGACTTCCCCACCAGACTGTGAGTTCCATATGGCTCTAGGTGGGTTCCACCACCAAGATCTCTCATCTAACTTGGCCCGCAGAGTGGGAATTTCCAGCTGCTATGGCTTCGCCCAGCCGGGCACCATACAGTGCCCTGCTTCAGTGGGCCCCGCCCGCCGCCTCCAGGCCTCCCCCCGCCCCGCCCCTCTAGGCTTACTTCCGGGATGCTTGAGGGAGGAGCGGGAAATAGGGCACATCAGACAAACTGCGCCTGTGCACAGTGCACCCTGCGCCGGCGCATTCTTGACCGCTTCGCCTCGGCCGGACATAACGGTCCGCGCGCGGCTCCCCCGACCGGAAGTGGAGACGAGCTGTCGCGGGGCGCGCCCGGCCCGGCTCACCGCCTGGCAGTCCCCGCTGTCGCCGCCGCCCTCGGCCACTGCCGAGGCTTTCCGCAGCCGCCATGTCCGCCAGTGCCGTCTACGTGCTGGACCTGAAGGGCAAGGTACCAAGGGCTCCCAACCCTCCGCGTTGCCAGGCAACCGGCGGGGGCCTCGCCCCGTGGGGACCCACCTTGTTGCTAGGTAACCGTCCAATGGGAGCCACCTTGGTCTTAGGCAAGGAAGCCGTCTGGCCTCACCTGAGGACTCCACCCTTTTGCTGGGTATCCAGGAAGGGGTCTTAGGTCCGCGAGCCTTGCCTTGCTGCTAGGTAACGCGGTGAGCTGCCGCAGTTGCCAGATAACCGACTGCACGACCCTCATCCCCACCCCTGTGAGTTGGGGGTTTTAGGCCTCTGTGAGGCCCGGGGCAACCGAGGCGGTGGAGAGCGCGGGCCGCAGCTGGCTGGGAAGCCAATCCTGGCGCCAAGGGGCTGCGCGACCCTTGACCAGAGGGGGTGAAGCGTGTCGGGGACAGTGTACCTTTGGGCCAGTGCCGCCCTCTGGGAGCTCGGCCCGTTCTGTTTATCCAGCGATTTTTGTGTTTTAGTCCCTTGAAGCAATTTCTTAATGTTCACTGTGACACTTGAGTTACCAGGGCTAGGTGAGGTGGTTGGCGGGAGTGCTATTTTCGCAGAGGGAGAGACTGAGGCACAGAGAGGTGATACAAAGCGCCCAGAGTCACATCGGTCACAGAAGAGTGGCAGGTCTAGGAGCTGAACCCAGAGTCGTTTGTTCATTTAGCTGATATTTGAGGAGCACTTACTAAATGCCAAGCAGGGTGCTAAGCTTCAGGCTGCCTTTGGTGAGAGAAACCAGAGTCAGTTCCTGAACCTGGTCCTTCTGGAGCCCACGATCTGGTGAGTGGGAGGGACACTGATCTCAAAAAGCACAAACAAATGTAAATTGCAGTGGTGGAGCAGTGAGGATCTAACAGAGTCAGCCTCCACTGGGGATAAGGAAGCACTGCCCAAGGGGAGTGACAGGCTGGCTGGAATAGGAAGGAGCAATAGAACCCTAGGACCCATTCCCAGGGGGCCTTTCCCCGGGGGGTTTCTAGGAAAGCTTTATATGAGGGAGCTCAGAGTCTTTCAGAAGTGGCCTGCTGCCTTACCCCAAGTCTGTCCTGGCTAGAGGGCAAGTGAGTATCTGGTCTCTTGCATTGAGGAGTAACAAGAATAGGACAGTTTGTTGTCGTTTAGTCGCCAAGTCGTGTCCAACTCTTTCTGCGACCCCATGGACTGTAGCCCACCAGGCTCCTCTGTCCATGGGATTCTCCAGGGAAGAATACTGGAGTGGGTTTCCATGCCCTCCTCCAGGGGGTCTTCCCAATGCAGGGATTGAACCCATGTCTTCTGCACTGGTAGGCCTGAACAGGCAGATTCTTCACCACTGAGCCACCAGGGCTTCCTGTAATAGGACAGGACCGACAACATTTAACCAGCCCCACAGCAGTGAGTGAGGGAAACATGGGTGCCAGTCCTAGGTGGAGTGGGCGGGAGTGCGCCCAGAAGCAGTAAGGAGTGAAGGGTTGAAATGCCTGCCCCTTGCTGCCTCACTCCCCACCCCCAGCACTTTCCCAAACCTCCCTTAAGTGGGTTGCCTTCCTTGGATGCCACCCAAAGTCAACAACTAGTGAGGCCCTGTGCTGGGCCCCCTTCTGAGGACGGGAGGCTGAGAAGGTTGAGTCCTGGGAGGCAAGGAAAGACACAGGACACCCCAGGGGTGGGGGGGTGCGGTATTCCCTGAGTTTTTGCAGCATGTTTTTTTTTCCTTATTTTGTATGTATTCATTTTTAATTGGAGGATAATTGCTTTACAGTGTTGTGTTGGTTTCTGCGTGTATCACTATGAATCAGCCGTTGGTATACACATGTTCCCTCTCGAACTTCCCACCCACCTCCAACCCCCCACCCCATGTAGCATGTGTTCTTGATTCCTCCCTGGCCACCGTGTCACCAGAGGTCCCGCAGGCTGCCTCCTCAGATCACTCATTTCTCCGACAAACATTTCATGAGCACCTAGCATGCGGCATGAGCTCAGAGGCTGAGCTCAAAACCTGCCCCTGCTGCTCAGTTGCATGACCTCGGGCAAGCGTGTGAACTCGCTGAGCAGGCACATGAGACAAGCGCAGCACCACCCATGGCCCACAGTGCCCTTGAGGTCTTGTAGCAGAGGCGCGTGGAAGCTGACAGATCCAAGCAGATGCATGGATCCCGATGATCAGTTAGCCACCACAGCAAGGTCAAGGCCCTTAGGTAATGCAGTTGCCCAACCTCAGTGTGGGTTGGCAGGAGAAGTGGTTACAAAAGGCTTCCTGGAGGAGAGAGATGCCAGTGCTGGGCAGGTGACCAGGCGGCAGTCAGGTCAACGAGGAGGTGTCACAAGAGGCCCACAGGGTGAGGGGCAGCCCGCTGAGGCTGGGTGGCCGTGGGTAATGCTGGAGCCGGAGGAGGGACCCAGAGGGCCGTGGGTGAAGGGCGTTCAGATGGGAGAGCAAGAGGAGACCACCTTGATCCCAAGAAGGAACAGCTGTCATGAGGAGACTGTAGCCTGGGAGAAGCCTGATTATATGTGTCTTTCAGAAGAGGCTGCGTGGGTGGGTTTGCCTCCCATCCTCCCTGACCATCCCACGTTTATTATTCCACTCCCCATGGACCTCATGTTTTGAAAGTCTGCCTTCTGCAGAAACTGCATTCAATAAAAAAGGAAGGTAATGGCACATCAAGGAAATTCACAACCACACATCTACCTGCCAACCAGCACCTCTGATCTCCAGGAAAGCCAGCGCGGCCACATTCAGCTGGTGGAAAGCCCTCCAGGACACTTCTCTGCCCTTACCTTTCTTCTCTGCAGCTTCTAACACCACTGCTGTGCTCCTCCTCAGCAGGCTTCCATCGGCCTCGAGGTTGCTGTGCCTCTGTTTCCCCTGTTTCTCTCACTGCTCCCGCTTCTCTCCTGCCCTCCCCTCGGATGTTGGCTCCTCCTGCTTGAGCCTGGCATGCCTCACATACTGTTGCTCTACTTGGGATAGGCTTTGACTCATTCATTCATTCATTCATTCATTCCTATTTTTTGGCCATGCCTCACCACCTGCAGGATCTTAGTTTCACGAGCAGGGATTGAACCTGTGTCCCCTGCAGTGGAAGCACAGTGTCTTAACCATTGGACTGCCAGGGAAGTCCCAAGGGGCATGCTTTGATTTCTGTCACTGTGCCAATGACCTCTGAATTTGAATCAAAGTCCGGAGCACTCATCTGGAGATCTGCAGGCCTTCAGGACACCCTGGAAGTCTCACAGCCATCACAAAGTCGGCATTTCCCCAGATGAGCTCCGCACTACCCCCCAGCCCTGCTGCTACTACCCACCTCCCTCCATCTCAGGGAGTGACACCGCCAACCACACTGCCTGTTTAGAGACGTGGGCATTATCCTGCCCTTGTTTGCCTCACCGCCACGCTCACTGCAGAGATGTTTACTGAGTAGCCGCTATGGGCCAGGATCCGAGGCCGCCCTCACTCTCCTTAAACGGTGCTCCTAGTACCCACCATGGGTACCTCCCATCCCATGTCTCTAGTTCCCCTGGTCCCTCTGCCTCTGTCCCCCTGTGTTCTAAGGCCTCAGTTTGAAGGTCACACCCTTGCAGAGTCTCATCTCCCTTGAAGCAAATAGCTCAGTGCAGGGATCCGTTTGTCCTGGTCACCCTGGTGTCCCCAGGCCCAGCATAGTGGATGGTAGAGGGCATGAGCACGTGGGCCTGTGCAGCCCATGTGATGAACGTGAGCAAAATATATTGCTCCCTGCTCTTTTCTCAGAATATACTGGGGCCGCAGGGGCTCCATGCCAGTTGCATCCCCCAAAGTTAGATAACCTGGAGTAGAAGGTGGGCTTGGAAAGCCCAGGGGAGCAATGTTTATCGAGTGGAAGTGGCCCTGCAGGGAGTGAGAAGTGGGGTTAGAACTCGGGCTCACCTTTGTTCACTGTGTGACCTCAGGCAGGTGGTGCCACCTCTCTGGACATCACTGTTCATCGCTTTAAAAATATCAGTCCTACTTCATAGTAGAGGGGATTTCTATGAGGCAGCATATACTCCTGGCAAAGAATATACAAGAGGGTATGTCGTAGTCCCTGGGCCGGGTACCCACAAGCTCACCCACTGGGTGCTGGGTCTCTAAGGGGCCTTCTGAACAGCAGTGAGTGCACAGGGTCCCTTGCCCATAGGCCACAAAGGAGAGACTAGGATAGGAAGGTTCTTTCTCAGTCACTCACTTGACTACTCTCTGGCTTGCAGCAGTAAGATGATGTATTTTATGAAGCTAAGACTCTGGGAAGGAAATGGCAACCCACTCCAGTATTTTCCCATGGACAGAGGAACCTGGCTGACTACAGTCCGTGAGGGTCACAAAAGAGTCGGACAGGACTCAGCAAGCATACGACAACGAAGGTCCTGAGGCAGGCAGTCCCCAGGCTGGTCGGCGCAGTGGTGTCGTATTTGCGCATTACTGCGTCCTGCAGCTGGCTGTGCTCAGCGACACATGGGAGCAGCAGCTGCCCTGGGCAGCGTCTCCAAATAGAGCCGTGCTCACCATGGCGTAGCTTCACACCTCCTTTCCTTTCCTTCAGTGAGTTACGTGTAACAGACTGTGCTTACATAAAGCATATTGTTTGATGAATTCAGTCATTGTATACACCCAGAAAACCGTAGGCACACGCTCTGTTACTTTCTAAAGGTTCCCCACACCCATCCATGTCCAGCCTGTCCCCAGGCAGCCACTATTGTATTTTCTGTTACCGTTTCCCAGGGTGTGTTTAAGTGGAATCACAGTTATGGTCTCCATTGTCTGGTTTCTTCCCCTTGGCTCAGTGATCCTGAAATTCCCTCCTGCTGTCACCAGTGTCAGTAGTCATTCCGTTTCATAGCTGAGCAGTTTTCTGTAGTGTGGATGGACACAATTTTTGTCTCCACTCACCTGTTGGAGGATGTTGGCATTCTTGCCAACCTGAGTCTACTTAAAATAATGCGCTGTGAGCATCCACACATGTGTCTTCAGGTGGATGTCTGGTTTCCTTTCTCTTGGGTAAATACCTAAGAGAGGAATGGCTAGGCTATAAGCTGATTTTAGCTTTCTGAGAACCTGTCAAACTTTACCAAAGTGGTTGTCCCATTTTACATTCCCATCAGCAGTGCTGCACATCTGGACCCATGAGAAAGAGATAAGGAGATGGGTTTCTTTTCAGGCCACAGGCGGGATCTGGTAGGTGTGCACACTCAGCAATGTCCCTCTCCTGGCAGAGACAGAAGAGCAGGGTGCATGAACGCCGAAAGGCGTGGAGAGGGTCTGCACTGAGAGCCTGCAGGACGTTGCTTACCCTGGCGTCGCCCACGTGATTCAGTCCTGGACTCTTGCCCCGCAGCCCCTCTACGAAGACTCTCACTGGCCCCAGTAGATGTTCACATGGGGAAGTGCTTTCCTTGAGGAATTCCCTGGGGCGTGGAGATCGAATGGCCCTTTGATGGACAGGCGTGATTGGGGTTCCCTGGAGGGCAGGAGGCGGGTGGAACTCCAGGCGAAAGCGCCTTCCCTCTCCCCCACCTCCCGCAGGTGCTCATCTGCCGGAACTACCGCGGCGACGTGGACATGTCAGAGGTGGAGCACTTCATGCCCATCCTGATGGAGAAGGAGGAGGAGGGCGTGCTGTCGCCCATCCTGGCCCACGGGGGAGTACGCTTCATGTGGATCAAGCACAACAACCTGTATCGTATCCCTCTGTCGGGGGTGGGGGAGCTGGCTCCTGTGTGGGCTTGTGCGTGCGTGAGTACACACACACATAAACGTGCAACTGAGAGCCGCTGTCCCCAGGGCTGGCTGGCTCAGGCCAGCGGGGGGCCGCCAGGCACAGCCCTGTCTCCTGGAACCCCCTTCTGCCTAAGGATGACCAGTGTCACAGAGGTCCAAGGAGCCAGGACGGGTTCCTTGGGGAGGGAACATCCCAGAGGAGACCTGCAGGAAGGCCAGCTGTCTGCCACAGGTGGTGGGGGTTGGCAGGCAGGTGGGGTGCGGGGCACAGAAGCCTGGGCTGTGAGGGGGGGTGGGATACAGAGAAGGGGAGGGGAGTCCTCCCCACTCTGCCCAGATCTCAGAGCCCTCTGCGCTCAGGCCCATGGGGAGGCCTGGCTCAGCCAGTTCCCATCCAGGAGGTCTGACCGGCCATCCCGTGGCTTTGGTCAACCCCTCTAGGTGCGTTCTGGCATCTACACTGCTGCGGGAAGAGCCTGGCTTTGCAGCCCACAGCCCGTGCTCCGGTCACCATGTGACTGGAGGCAGCTCCTCACCCCCCTGGTCCAGTGAGAGCAGTGATCCTCTCCTCGCAGCACTGTTGGGGTCAGCTGAGCTGTGCATGTGCATCGCGCCCAGCCAACATGGGCTCTGTCCCCTTTTTCCATGTTCATGGAGACACACGGGACCTTGCTAGTGAAGGTGTGGTCCACGGGCCAGAGCACCCCTGGGATGCTGGGAGCTTTCTGGGAATGCAGAATCCTGGGTCCATACAGCCTTGCCAAGTCAGAAGCTACATTAGAGCAGGGCCATCCCTCGTGAGGTATGTGCATGTTGCAGGGTGGAAGGTGTTGGCCCGGGATGCTTATCCATGGCCCTGAGGCCTGGCTCTCTGCAGAGTGCGGCAGGCAGCCTGTGAGCCAGGAAGAGATTGTCTGAGAAGCTGCCCTGGGTCTGGGCATGGTTGCCCCGCTTTGGGGGGTGGGGGAGTAGCGGTGCCAGCTCAGCAGGAGCTCAACAGCTCGTCCCCCAGACGCCAGTGCTCTGTGCGTCCTGCCGAGTGGACATCTGCTCACCTCCAGCCCAGTTCCATTGTCAGGTGGCAGTTTCCAAGCCCAGCCAAAGGGTTGGAGGTGCCCGTTGCCCCTCCTTAGAAAGCACTGGAACCTGTGTTGCTTGGACTAGGGAAGCCAGCACTCCCCGATTGGCCCCGCGTCCATTTCCTGGGGCCCTGTGCTGGGCTGGGATGAGGCTGGAAGTGGGGTGGAGATGGCCCCTCCTGGAGCCCACAGCTTGGCACTGGGGTGGCCAGGGTGCAGTGCAGAGGAACTGTTCTCCCCAGGTGATCAATCCCTTAGGGAAAGAGGAAGTTCCCAGTACACACTGACCCCAGGAGCTGGGGACACGTCCCCGTGTCTGGAGTGTGTGCCAGTTTACACACATCACCTCAGTGAATCCACTCCCAAGCCCCTATTACGTGGTTATTGTTGTTCAGTTGCTAAGCCATGTCTGGCTCTTTGTGACCCCATGGACTCTTGCCTGCCAGGCTCCTCTGTCCATGGGATTTCCCAGGCAAGAATACTGGAGTGGGTTGCCATTTCCTACTCCAGGCATCTTCCTGACCCAAGGATCGAACCCACAACTCCTCTTGGCAGGCGGGTTCTTTACCACTGAGCCATCTGGAAGCTAATGGGTAACAAAAAGGAGGCTTCATTCAAAAGGTTTGCTTCAGGGGGAAAGACTCAAAGACAGGCTCAAGCCAGAATTGGCCCTGAGCGTCAGGAAGGTCCTGTAGGTGATGGGCTTTGGAGAAGGGCAGGTGGTGCTTCTGGTTTCCGCTCCAGGATGAGGCGCACTGCTCTCCCGGGGCTGCTCACCTTACTGAAGTGCCCGCTACCACACCTCGGGCTTCAGCCCTCCGCTCAGGCGTCACCTCCCCGGGCAGCGCCCCTTACCTGGCAGCTGGGGTGGGTTTCCTGTGCCCCTGCTGCCCGTCTGTCAACTGAGTGCTCCCTGGGAGCCGGGACTGCCCCTGTCTGTGACCACGGTGCCCAGGCCCGGCTCAGACCAGGAGCTCGGGAACCCTGAGGGCCGAGTCGGTGACTGGGACAGCTCCAAAGCATGCAGGGCACTGGGATCCGGGAGGCGGCACCCCCCTCTGAACGCTCCTTAACTGGCCGCCGTGCAGTGGTCGCCACCTCCAAGAAGAACGCATGCGTGTCACTGGTGTTCTCCTTCCTCTATAAGGTGGTGCAGGTGAGTCGGGCCCCCGGGGCCACAGAGGGTCTCCTCACCGGCTCTGCAGCGTGCCTCCCCATCTGGGCCACCCAAGGGCCACAGCGTCCCTAGGGGAGCTGGAACCCCAGGAAGAAGACCCGAGAGGGGGATGCCACGGCTTTATATGCCCCTCTGCCTGGTAAGGAGAGGGGAAGGAACGGGAGGAGAGGCTCAGGCTAGGGGTGTGCCCCGCTTCCAAGAGGGACAGGTGTGCCCCCAGCTGGCTGTGGAAGGCTGGAGAGTGACCCGCTGAGTCAGGGATTAGGTAGGTGGGTTAACCAGGAGGGTGGAGCCACGTTCTGCTCAGAATCTCCTTGGGGGGATGCTGTAAAGGCACAGTGCCTGAGGCCCCACCTTAGAGAGGGGTGACACATGCCAGGCCCAGCTGCCACGAGACGGGGAGACAGCGGCATGTGCAAAGGCCCTGGGGCAGAAGTGCCTGTGGTGCCCGGCATTCCCGGGACAGAGTGTGGCGCTGTCAGCAGGGTGGCTGGGCTGGACCTCAGGGTGGGGGCTGCAGCACAGGGCCTAGTGAGGCATTTAGATTTCATTACAAGTCTGATGAGAGAAGGTGGAAGGCTTTAAGCAGGAGACTGGCAACATCTGGTTTAAGATCCTCTCTGCAGCTGAGTGGGAAAAGAAGCTAAAGGCAGCAGGGAGGCCAGGGAGGAGGTGGAGGGAGGGGCCTGGTGAAGTAGGGGCTTCATGGGGTTGAAGAGAGTGGACAGTCTAACCCAGGAGGCTTGGAGTGTGCCCAGGAAAGCTTTCATACTCCAGATGGTGCCGTGTGCAGCTCACTCAGCAGTCACCTCCACTACACAGGGCGGCAGGGTGGTGAGAACATGGGGCAGGAGAGGCCCCAAGTGCAGCTGAGGGGTCGCCGGCATCCCCAGGCTGTCGCGGGCCAATCGGCGCTATTTGTGATTTCCGAGGAGCAGCCCAGCAGTTGCAGTCCTGGGGTGTAGAGATGGGGAAGCAGGAAGAAGGAAGGTTCTCCTCCCTGCAGTGACTGGCATTGCCTTCCTGCTTCCGTGTTTGTGCTCCTGAAAGGCCTTTTGTTGAGTTCCTCTTCCCCTTGGCTCCCCTGGTGCCCCGGCTTTCATCTCTGAATTTTCTATTGAAATGGGGCAGGCTTATCTGCAGGCACAACTGTACAGACTGGGGTTCAGGGAGGTCATGAGAGGCTAAAGAGCTGCTTGTCCTGTCCGCAGGGGCCCTTGTCCCTCATCTGAATCACTCCTGACTCAGAGGCAAAGGGTCAGGGCGAAAGAGAAGCTGGGAAGGGGCCCCAGGCCTGGAGGTGTCTGCCAGGGAGAGGAGGAGAGTGGGCCTGCAGGGGTGGGAACTCATGCTTCTGAGCAGGTCTCAGAGGACCCCTGCACACCCCAGTGTGGTTCCCGCATCCCAGGCAGCCACTGCTGTCCTCCTGCCCACGTCCCCTGAGCCCAGGCCCTCATCCGAGCACTCCTGGGCAAACACACTGGTGGACAGAAGGGCTGTGGGCAGGGGCCTCGGGGCACGAAGTGCAAATTAACTTGTGTTCATCCCTTCCTCGTCACTCCTCTCACCGATCTGCCTCCCATGGCAACACTGCAGGTATTTTCAGAATACTTCAAGGAGCTGGAGGAGGAGAGCATTCGAGACAACTTCGTCATCATCTACGAGCTGCTGGACGAGCTCATGGACTTCGGCTACCCCCAGACCACAGACAGCAAGATCCTACAGGAGTGAGTGGGTGGAATGGGGCCCGGGGACAGGGGTGAGTGGGGGTCAGGCCAGGGCACCGTCCCTGTGTTGACGTCATGGGCAGGTTTGGAGGTGCAGAAGGCAAACGTGTACTCACGTTGCTGGTCCCCTGCCTATCTCCAGCCCACCAGAAGTTTTCTAAGTTCCTGGGGCAGCTATGGGTCCTTTTCCACTCAGCATCACTGCATGGCATGAGCACTTTTCCTGTTGCTAGGTCTTCATTTCCATCCACAGACGTGCTCTCAATGCCTTGTTTTTAGGGAGTCACCTGCCACTGCTCTGTTTTTTGGGTTTTTTTATACATGTTTGTTTAGTTTTGACTGCTTTGGGTTTCAGTTAGGACATGTGAGGTCTTCCTTGCAGCCTGCAGGCTTCACTGTAGTTGTGGCACATGGGCTTCAGAGCGAGTGGGCTCTGTAGTTTGCGGCCTGAGGGCTCTCTAGTAAACACATGGGCTTAGTTGCCCCGTGACTTGTGGAATCTTAGTTCCCTGACCAGGGATTGAACCTGCGTCCCCTACATTGGAAGGCAGATTCTCAACCACTAGACCACCAGGGAAGTCCTACTGCCTTTGTTTTTACTGTCATAAATGAGACTGTGATGAAAAATCTCCCTCCTTTGGAATCCTGTGCACCAAATAATGATTACCATTGATTAAGCACTTCTTAGGGAGCAGGCCTCTTGTGAACACATTTTTCTATTTCAGTTAGTCAGAGGTGCTGTCTTCCCATTTTACAGGGGAGCAGAGGGACACTCAGAGAAGCCGTGTAACTTCAGCACACCCCACATCTGTTGTTCCCCAAGTGGAAGCAAACGGGCTTCCCAGTTGTCTCAGTGGTAAAGAATCCACCTGCCAATGCAGGAGACGTGGGTTTGATCCCTGGGTTGGGAAGATCCTCTGGAGGAGGGCATGGCAACCCACTTCAGTGTTCTTGCCTGGGAATGGACAGAGGAGCCTGGTGGGCTGCAGTCCATGGGGTCAGGTGGCACATGACTTCCTGACATAACAGCAAGTGGAATCGGGGTCACCAGGTTCCTCTCCCAGGGAGGTTGGTCTCGTCTGCATGCCCAGCAAGGAAGCATTTCATGCCCACTGCTTGTTTTACTCACCAACGCTGTCTTGCTGCCCTGAGACTGAGAACACTCTACTCATTGTAACTGAAAGTTTGTTGGAGTTTTGGAAACGGTGATGTTGTTGTGTTAAATGGCCCCAGGTGAAACCAGAGCCTGCCTCTCCTGGCACCTGCTACAGGGAGGGGCTGTTTTCAAAAATGTCAGTGCCTGAGCCACCTAACTCTGAGCCTGGGCCCACAGGTACATCACTCAGGAAGGCCACAAGCTGGAAACGGGGGCCCCGCGGCCCCCGGCCACTGTCACCAACGCAGTGTCCTGGCGCTCCGAGGGCATCAAGTACCGGAAGAATGAGGTGTTCTTGGATGTCATCGAGTCCGTCAATCTCTTGGTAGGCTTCCTTTTCTTTTTTAAAAAATGTTGTCGTCTTTGTGATTGGAAGTAAAAGCAACTTGACTTTTTAAAATTAGCAAGGCCCTGAGAAACAGTTTCTGTTGATAGCAGATCAGTGGGATTATGTTTGGGCTACTCATTGCAACACGAGCCTGTTTTACCTTCATTAGTTTTGTTCTTATTTAGAACAAACGCATGCATATCATTAAATGTATATATATGTATAGGGTTAGAAAGCCAAGGGCTCTAGGACTTCCTGGTGGGCCAGCTGCTGACCCTGCGCTACCACTTCAGGGGGCCTGGGTTCCACCTTGACTGGGGAACTAGGATCCTGCATGCCACCAGGCAAAAGTAAAACACTAATTAGAAAGCAAGCAAGCAAGCACAGAGCTCCATAATCAGAAAGGCCACATCACAGAAGGATTCATCGTCATCTTTTGGCCCCTCACGCTGTAGGTTCACAGACAGACGTTGTTCTGTGTAAAACTGACGGCGTAAGCTGTAGTTCTCCTACAGCTGGCTTTTGGAGTTGCTTGGGTTTTGGTTTTTATTGTTTTGTGCATGTTTGTTTCTTTAGTTTTATTTATTAAGTTATTGTTATTTGGTAATTGACCATATTTTCTGTGAATTAGCACATGTACAGATTTGTGTACTCGTGATCATAACCAGGAAGCAGAATAGCTCCATCACCTCAAAATCCTCACTTATGCTGCCTCTCAGTAGTCACACCCTCCCGCCTGTTCCCAACCCCTGGCAACTGCTACTGTGGTCTCCATCACAGTAGTTTTGTCTTTTTGAGATTGTTTTATGAGTGGAATTATACAGTGTGTGTTTGAATCTGACTTCTTTCAATATATGGCTTTGAGATTCATCCAAGTTGCTCTGTTTATCAAAAGTTTATGTCTTCTTAGGTTCATTTATTTTATATTCTGAATCACAGTTGATTTATCCATTCACCCATCAAAGGACATCTGGGTTGTTTCCAGTGTTTGGCAATTGTGAAAAGAGTTGCTATGAGCATTTTATGTATAGATTTATGTGTGGACAGAAGTTTCCATCTCTCTAGGGCAAATACCCAGGAGTGGGATTGCTGGGTCATATGGTAAGTGTATGTTTGACTTTCTAAGAAACTGTCAAACTGTTTTCCAGTAACATTTGTGCATTTTCACCAGCAGTGGATGAGAGTTCCAGTTGCTCCACATCCTTGATCAACGTTTTTATTTTTGTCATCCTCCTAGGCTTTAATGTACATTTCCCTAATGGCTAATGATGTTGAGCATCTTTCTCTATGCTTCTTTGTCATCCATATATCTTTGGAGGAGTGTCTTTTCATGTCTCTGATCATTTTTAAGTTGAGTTTGTCTTCTGATTGTTGAGTTTTGAAAATTCTTTGTATTGGATAAAGTCTTTTGTCTGTCACTTTTCATTCTGTGGCATTGTCTTTCACAGAACAGAAGTTTTTGAGAAAGTCTACATATCAAGTATTTAGGGACTTCCCTGGCAGTCCAGTTGGTTAACACTTCACCTTCCAGTGAAGGGGGTACAGATTTGATCCCGAGTTGGGGATCTAAGATCTCACATACTTTTCAGCCGAAAAACCAAAACAAGGTAGAAACAGTATTATAACAAATTCAATAAAGGATTTTAAAATGGTCCACAGAAAAAAAATATTTGGGGGAAAAAACTCAAAATATCAAAATTTAAACTGATTATGCTTTTGGTGCCATGTCTGAGAACTCATTGCCAAACCCAAGGTCACATAGATTTTTCTCCTAAATTTTCTTCTAAAAGATTATAGCTTTATATTTAGATCTACGATCAATTTTTAATTAAATTTTTTGTAAGGTATGAGGCTTATGTCCATTTTTTGCACATTGAACAATTTTTTTCCTTGTTCTAACATCATTTTTTTAAAAAGATTATCCTTTCTCCATTGAATTGCTTTTGCATTTCTGTCAAAAATCAGTTTGCTATATTGTGCAGGTCTATTTGTAGTTTCTGTTCTTTTCCATTGATCTGTATATCTGTTTCTTCACCAGTACCACACAGTCTTGATAACTGTACCTTTACAGTAAGTTTGAAAACCAGATAATGTGATCTTCCTAACAGTCTTCTTTTTCAAAATTGTTTAGTTCTTTAGTTCCTTTTATAGACTTAGAATCTGCTTGTCTTGGGATTTTGGTTGGTATTGAATTAAATAACTCTGTTAAAACAATTTGGAGAGATTTGATGTCTTTAGTATATTAAGTCTCACAATCCATGAGAAATATATGTCTCTCTATATATATTTAGCTAATATTTTATTTCTTTCATCAACATTTTATAGTTTTTACCATGTACAAATTTTCATGTTAGATTTATACCTAAGTATTTCATTTTTTGGAAGCTATCACAAATTGCTTATTTTTAATTTTATTTGGTAGAATTCACCTGTAAAACTATCTGAGTCTGGAGATTTCTTTTTCAGAATATTTTTCACTACAGTTTCAATTATATAACAACTATAGGATTCATTAGGTTTTCTATTTCATCTTGAGTGAGTTTTGGTAGTTTGCAGTTTTTAAGAAATTGGTCTATTTCATCTAAGTCACTGAGTTTATATGCATAGTGTTGTTTATAGTATTCCCTTATTAGCTTTTTAACATGTGCAAGGTCTGTACTGATACCCGCTCTTTCATCTCTGATATTGGTAATTTATGTTGTCTTTCTTTTCTGTCAGTCTTATGAGTGGTTTATCTGTTTCATTGATCTACACAAAGAATCGGCTTTGATTTCATTGATTTCCTCTATTGTTTTTCTGTTTTCAATTACACTGATTTCTGCTTTTGTCTTCCTTGTGATTTTGGCTCACTTTGCTCTTCTTTTGCTAGTTTTTAAAGTGGTAACTGAAGATACTAATTTGAAGCCTTTCTTCTTTCTAATACAGACATTTAATGCTATAAATTTCTCTCTAAGCACTGCTTTAGCTGTATTCTACACTGATAACATTGGGTTTTCATTTTTGTTGAAAATATTTTCACATTTTCCTTGAGCCTTCCATTGACCCATGGATTATTTAATGAAAGTGTGTTGTTTAATTTCTAAATGTTTACAGATTTTTCTGTTATCTTGTCATTGACTTTTAATTCTGTTATTGTCTGAGAATATAGTTTATATTACTGTCAGTTCTTTAAAGTTTGTTAAGATTAATGATCCAGAATATAATCTGCCTTGGTGAATGTCCATGTACATTTGAAAAAAATGTACTTTCTGCCCTTTTTGGATAGAGTATTCTGTAAATACCAATTAAACTTGAACATTTGTCATGTTCTGTTTTGTTTCTTCACTCTTATCATTTTTTCTTTGTATAGTTTTTTTTTAGTGGTTGCTATAAAATACATACTTTCTTATCATTTACTTAGACTTAATATTTTACAACTTCATTTGAAATTTAGAAACTTTACTACCCCATTGTTGTCCTATATAATTATCTCTCTATACTGAAAACCATATTAGTCAGTGTTAAACATTTTTGCTTTCAATTACCAAGCACACTTTAAAGAACTGAGGAGGAAAAGAAGACTCTCTATCATATTTTCCCAGGTATTTACTGTTTCTGTTGCTCTTCCCTCACTTCCAATTTTCTAGGTTTCCTTCTGGTACAGTTTTACTTCTGTCTAAAATGCTTCTTTTAGCAGTTCTTTCAGAACAGGACAACAGGCTACAAATTCCCTTCGTTTTCCTTCATCTGAGAATGTCTATTTCACCTTCTTTCCAGAAGGATACTGTCACTGGATATCAAATTCTGGGTTGACAGTTCTCCTTTAGTACCTTAAAAATGTTGTACCACTTCCTTCTGGGCTCCATGATTTCTGATGAAAATCCACAGTCACTCACATCAGTATTCCCCTGTAGGTAATAATAATATGTAGTTTTTCTCTGGCCGCTTTTCAGATTTTTTCTTTGTCTTTAGTTTTCAGCAGATAGATTATGATGTGTCTCGGTATGGATATTTTTGAGTTCCTGCTGTTTGAGTTTTGTTCAGCTTCTTGGATCTGCAGACTTACATATTTCACCAAACCTGGGATGTTTTCCTTCATCATTTCTTCATAGTTTTCAGCAGATAGTTTATGGTGTGTCTAGGTATGGATATTTTTGAGTTCCTACTCTTTGGGTTTTGTTCAGCTCCTTGGATCTATAGACTTACGTTTCACCACACTTGGGATGTTTTTATTCATCATTTCTTCAAATATGTTTTTACTGTTTCACTCTCATTTCCTTCTGGACCCAGTAACATAAATGTTAGACCTTTTATGATTGTCCCCAGGGCCTCTGAGCCTCTGGTCATCCTGCTTCATCTTTCTTTCTATTGTTTAGATGGGATAATTCCTGTCGATCAGCTTTCAAGTTCACTGACCCTTTTCCTACTGTGTTATCTCCGTTCTGCTCTTGAGCCCATCCAGTGAGTTTTTAGTTTGTTACTGTACTTTTCAGATCTAAGATTTCCATTTGATCCTTCTCCTTATAATCTTATTTCTTTCCTGAGACTTTCTAGTTTGACATTATTGTAAGAGTATTTGCGATTTTTCCCATAGCAGTTTAAAGTCTTCATGGAATCCCAACATCCATGTCAGTATTGGTGACATGTGAGCTGAAATTTTCAAGGTTCTTTGTATGCTAAGTAATTTTAGGTTATATCTTGGGGTAGGATTCTAGGTCTTATTTAAATTATATAGAAAATTTTGATTTTTTTTTTGGTTTGTTTTAGCTGACAATTGACCTGATTAGGTTCAGGCCACAAGTTTCAACTCCCAGTCTATGAGCCATGAGTATCAGTTCAGTTTTCAAAGCCTTTGTGCCCTTTGCTATTTGCATCTGTTCCAAATATGCAGTGCCCAGCGGTCCGTCCGAGACTGGGAACAGTTTGGTTCTCAAGGCCTTTGGCCGTAGGATCTTGTCTGTGCACACCTGGTTCTAGAGAGGTCTGGAGACATAAACAACTTCCTGAGGTTGCTTTCCCGAACCTTTCACTGTCTGCTGTATACCTGTGCTCTCTGGCTGCCTAGGACTTCCTTTTTTGGTTCTGTGGCCAAAAACTTGGGGCTCTAGAGCCCCACTCTTGTGCTGGTCTGCACTTGGGCTGGAACCCTAGGTTTGCCACCGCCCATCCCTGGAAAAACAGCTCAGCTGCCTGGGCCCCAGACAGCCGTGAAAAACCTGAAGAGGGGGAGAAACGGGGGATTTCCATACTCCCTCTGAGCGGCAGGAGTTCCCCTTCTGGCCCTGGAGTCAGAACTAGAGCCTTCTGCAAGCTCTGGCTACACCCCACCGCTCACTTCCACTGCCAGGTTTCTGCTGCGCACTCACATCACGGCAGGTGGGAGACGCTGCTCATTCAGCCAGCTCTTCTGGATCCACCTTTTTGGTCTCCCAATAGTTGCCCATGTATTCTGCCCAGGATTTTTGTTGCTGTTGATCTTTAATTTTAATTAATTAATGTGCTGTGTCTTTGTTAGTGCTTGGGCTTTTCTCTGGTTGCAGCACACAGGCGTCTCACTGCAGTGGCTCCTCTTGTCATGGGGTGCAGGCTCTAGGGTGCGTGGGCTTCAGTAGTCGCAGTTCCCAAGCTCTAGAGCACTGGCTCAGCAGTTGTGGCGCATGGGCTTAGCTGCTCCGCAACTGAGGGATGATGTGGGATCTTCTAGATCAAGGGTCAAACCTGCGTCTCCTACATTGGCAGGTAGATTCTTTACCACTGAGCCATCAGGGAAGCCCCCTGCCCAGATTTTATAGCTGTGGTTGGTGGCAGAGAACGGGTGATGCGAGCCAGTTCCATCTCACCTGTAGCCTGCCTGTCTCCACACAGAAGACCTCACTCCCAGTACTTGGGCAAACCAGGGCAGACTGGGCTGCCCATCACATGGGCTGCTTAGGTTTGCCCATTTTTGGCTGTTCCAGCCAGTGCAGAAATGAGCATGATTGCTCATCCTCATGTGTGTTTGGGCATCTCCCTTACCTAGGCAGGATCTCTGGAGGGCTGAGTGCCTAGGCATGGAGTTCCTGAGTGAGAGCACTTTCCAAAAAACTCTTCCAGTGGACTGAATGTAAATGTATCTGCCATCTTATTTTCTAAGCTGTGAGGCGACTGTGGCTCTCTGAGCTCCCCTCCTACCTGAGGACCTTCATCTGGATCTGAGCCCGGAACGTGTTCTCGGGTGTCCTGAGGTGGAGAAGCAAATCCCAGGGAGTAGCTTATAAGCACCTGCCCAGTGGAGCACTGGGAGTTCAGGGCTGCCCCATCCCCTATGTCTGCACACGGCACTGTCCAGGCATCCCTGTCCTCTCACACAAGGGGCAGCGCAAGGCAGGTGTGGACATCCCAGGCATGTTGGAGCACACCTTCCTGAGTCTGACTGCAGAACTGGCGGCCTCCAAAATCAACACTGGCCTCCAGATTCTGAAAATCTGGTTCTACAGGTACAATTAGCAGCTGTTTTGCTGAGACTCATCTCCTCCATGCCTGCCCTGGGACAGTGCCTATCACGGCCAGCATTGGCCTTAAAGGCTGCGTGGCTTTTGTCTCCACTTCCCAAGCCTCCTTTGCCATCGTTCAGCTCTAAAGGGCTGTGCAGCCCCCCCTCCCCCAGCAGGGATAGCCCCCCAGAGAAGGAGAACTAAGGGCAGTCGGGCAGAGCACTGAGAACCCGCAGAGTGAGGCGGTGGGCGTGCCAGCTACCCAGAGCTCAGGGCCCGGGGCCGTGTCTGCACGGACTCACGAGTGCACGCTGCCCCAGGCACTGTCCTCAGGCTGGACCCCGCAGTGAGCAGCCCGACCCAACCCCTCACCAGAGTGTGGATGGAGGTGGATGGAGGCAGATGGGGGTCAGGCCACGCCCTGCCTGCTGAGGCAAGGACAGCGAGGTCAGAGTGTAGTGAGTGACAGGAGGTGGCAGGGCCTTCCGTGCTGCTCTGTGCCTTTTTCTGAGTCGTCATTCACTCGGTGCCTCAGTTCTCCACTTCCCTCAGAGGTGAAGGTCTTCCATGCCTGCCCACGGCACTTCCAGATATTTGAGTTAGACTGGACAGATTTCCCTGCTTCTCAGCAGAAATCAGGAAGTTAGGGCCTGCAGGGAGTGGCCCGTATAGCCCTGAGTCTGTGAGTTTGTTTTGCTTGCTGGTGTGGATGTGGCATCCTCACAGAATGGCGCTGTGGGGGTGGCGGGCTGGGCTGCAGCCCCGGAACCGCTGCCGGCTGCTCCGTGCCTCAGTGTCCTCGTCTCTGAAATGGGGCCATGGAGACGTGCTGCAGCAGCTCGGCTCCTCAGGAGAGCCCCCGGGTTAACCATCATCCTGCTGTGATTTTTATTTTATTTATTTATAAAAATGTGTGTGTTTTTAATTGAAGGATAATTGATGTACAGTATTGTGATGGTTTCTGCCATACATATGCATACCTATGGATCAGCCACAGGTATCCCTATGTCACCTTCCTCTTGGACCTCCCTCCTACCTCCAACCCCGTCCCACCCCTCTAGGTCGTCACAGAGCCCTGGTTTGTGCTCCCTGCATCACACAGCAAGTTCCCACTGGCTGTCTGTTTTACATGTGGCAGTGTATATGTTTCCCTTCTGTATACTGTCTCCATTCATCCCACACTTTCTCTCCCCAGCTGTGTCCACAAGTCTGTTCCTTTTGTGCTGTGATTTTCAGTTGCACTCTCAGATGCTTTCCAGTCTGCACAGGAGTTAAAAGTCGCCCGAGTCACAGCCCCGCCCGGTCAAGGAGGAACTGCCCAGGCAGTGTTAGAGCTGGGATTGTATTTGCTTAAGTGTAATTGTTACTTTGCATCAGACCTCAGAGCAGCCCTGGGAGCAGGACCCAAGCAGCTTCAACAAGCCCTAGGCTCACCTAGAGCATAAAGTAGCCTCACCTGGCCCCACGTGAAGAAATAGATTTCTGGAAAATGAGTCCGCCCTGCTCCGAGAAAACCTCACAGAGCCCAGTAGATGAGCAGACACTGATAGCATCCCTGCCCAGGCCAGCCACCAGGTCTGCCCTGGCTATCCTAGGGGCACCTCAGAGGGGTCAGTGCATGAAAGAGCCCTCAAAAGGATTGCAGGCACAGCATCAGCTGGGCCCATCCAAGAGGGAGGAGCCTGGGGTGGCCTGAGACCTAGAGGGCGGGGCCCACGGGTGTCTGCCTTCCGGGTCTGCCCTGACACTGCCTCCTCAGGTCAGGGGGCAGAGAGAAGGGCTTTGCGAGTGGGAGAGGCCGGGAGGGTCACACAGCGTGGGGGGGACAGTGGCCGCTGGCGCGGGGCCTCCCCTCACCCCTGGCGCCCCCACCCCGCAGGTCAGCGCCAACGGGAACGTCCTGCGCAGTGAGATCGTAGGCTCCATCAAGATGCGCGTTTTCCTGTCTGGCATGCCCGAGCTGCGCCTGGGCCTCAACGACAAGGTCCTCTTCGACAACACGGGCCGTGAGTACCCAACCCAGGCCCGGGAGCGTCCGCCTGAGTGGTGAACAAGTTCACCTTAAGCATATAGGCTTAGGAACATTGTCGTGTTGTTTACAACGGTGAAAACTAATCAGCTAACGCCTGGGCCTGGAGGACACGGGAGAGTGAAAAATCCTCAAGTCCAGTCACCTCTCAGGCCAGAGGTACAGATGAGCACCCAGATGGTCACAGAGTAGGTCCTCAGCCCCGCCCTCCTGCAGGGACTGCAGGCCTCGTCTCCCCCTGGGCCCACTTTCTGTCTTCACCTCTGACGTTGGGTCTGGGCTGTGCAGAAACCACACACAGCGGCTCGAGCTCTCCCTGCCTGTCCTGGATGTGACACTTTGTGGTAGGGCGGCCTCAGAAGCCCAGGGCTGCTGCGGCTCTGGTGTTCACAAGCTGGACCTCCAGCCTCCCCTCCCACCCACAGGAAGGTTGTCATGGTTACATCAGCAGTAGCGCTCTGAGGGCCTCTCAGACGTCCGCCCGGCAGAGTAGCTCCCCTCCCAGGACTGGGCCCAACCCTCAGCCTCTCTGGGCTGGGAAACTGAGATAGGATCCCAGGGATGACAGGCCTGGGGCCCTCAGGGGACCCCGAGTCATCCCCAAGCACCCCCAGTGGGGTCTGTTGGTCATTCAGCACACACGTCCCAGGCAGCACCCCAGGCTGGGGCTTAGAGCGAGCAGGCCCACCAGCGCTGCCCTCAGCCCAGCGTCGGGGTGTGATGGGGCTTCCTGGCGTGAGGAGGTGGGGATTCGGGGCCCAAGATGCTCTCGCAGATTTGGAAGCTGTGCTGCTCTGCAGAGCTGGGCCCCAGACGGCGGGGGACCATCACTGAGCGAGTGGCCCGGGGACCTAGGGTCTGTCTGTCACACCCTCACACTCCCGCTCCCTGCAGGTGGCAAAAGCAAGTCCGTGGAGCTGGAGGACGTGAAGTTCCACCAGTGCGTGCGGCTGTCGCGCTTTGAGAATGACCGCACCATCTCCTTCATCCCACCCGACGGCGAGTTCGAGCTCATGTCCTACCGCCTCAACACCCACGTGAGTGCACAGTCGCCAGCGCCTGGGCCCCAGGGGCAGCCCAGGCTCCAAGGGGCCTGCTTGTCAACACGAGGCTCCAAACTCTGAAGGGGGTAGGCCCTTTGGCACCACTGCCCCTTTTCCCAGGCAGCATCCCCAGAGTGTCCTCTGGGATGCTTTCTGCATTCTGTCTTTGTTCTGACCCATCCTGGCACCGGCTGGGATTCTCCCAAGAGCCCCTGGTGCCAGGCATTGGGCTCACACCAGGCCCAGTGGTCACTTGCTCCGTTTCCCCTCTGTGAAAGGAGCTTTGTAAAACGACTAGGCGAGCGCGCTGTCTTCCCTCTCCCCTACAGGTCAAGCCCTTGATCTGGATCGAGTCCGTGATTGAAAAGCATTCCCACAGCCGCATCGAGTACATGATCAAGGTGCGTGTGTGTCCTGCACGCAGCGTCCGCCGGGGGTGCAGGGCATACGAGAGGGGGACATGGGCGCCCCTGCCCAATACGGGCCTTCCGCACTCTCCGGCCTGTCCTGGGCCTCTGACACCGATCTTCACCCAGGACTGGGGGCACGCTGGGGCTCTTGTGACCCCTGCCCCGGGGCTGAACCTGTGGCTGTCATCCGTGTTGTCTCCCTGTGAGCTCGTCGAGAGTGGGCCTGGGACACAGGACACACCGCTTCCCGCCGCGGAAGCGGTCTGTGACCAAGTGTCCAGGTGGCACACTTCTGCCACCCAGTGACTTCATCCACCCCAGGCCAGTCCTGCTGATGCAGACATTGTCCCCGGAGGCCGGGACCACAGAGGATGGGAAGCCCCAAAGGCTGAGGAGACAGTGGCACAGAGATGACCTTCCAGAGTTGAGCTTAAAGGAAATCTCAGAGGGCAGGAGAGGGTAGAGAATCCCACAGGCCAGGCTAAGGGGTTTGTGGCCCTTGTGGGAGCAGGCTGGGTGGGAGCTGGGCTGTCTTACCTTCACCCTCTGCACCGTTGGCCCCACTCATCTCCAGGCCAAGAGCCAGTTCAAGCGGCGATCAACAGCCAACAACGTGGAAATCCACATCCCTGTCCCCAATGATGCTGACTCACCCAAGTTCAAGACGACAGTGGGGAGCGTCAAGTGGGTGCCCGAGAATAGTGAGATCGTGTGGTCCATCAAGTCCTTCCCGGTGAGCACCTTCTCGGCCGGGCGCCCCCAGATCCCCACCCACACCCGCCTGCTCGCTGGGCCCCGCGCACTGTGGTGACCTGACCCCTGTAGGCCCCTCGAGCCCAGGGCCGGGGTCCCCGCCTGGGGTTTCCGGGGGGCTCAGCAGGGAGGGTGGGTGGAGAACAGGGGCGGGGCGGGGTGGGGGTGCTCCACCTTCCTCGTGTGTGCACCCGCCTGTCTTCAAAGTCAGGTTAGCGCCCCCGCCCCTCCCTCCCGCTGGCCCTCTTGCTCTCCCTGCCGCTCCTGTTTGGACCTCAGCTTGCCTCCAGGGGAGCAGACTGACTGCCTGGGCCAGAGCAGCACCAGCTCCAGGAACACAGCGCCTGCTGCCCGACCCACAGCTGGCGTGGCCACCTGGCTGGTGTGCAGGATTTCGAGCACTTGAGTCTGGGTTTGTGGGCAGAGTGCCCGGGGACTGGAAGGCAGGAAGGAGGCTGCACGGGCTGCACGTTCCTCATGATAAAAAGATGCGGTGCCTTTTCTTTTTGTCTCAGGGGGCTGTTTGTGTTTCTTGCTCTGGAAACTGTAGTAGCTGTCCTTTTGCTCACTTTTCTGTCAAGTTTGGTCACTTTCTTGTTGGTTTCCAAAAGCTGTTTGTACATGGGCAAGGTTAGTACTTTTCCTTTGATAGCAGTTGCAAGTGGTTTTCTTTAGTTTGGTGTTTGTCTTTCAGTCTTGGCTCTGGAGTATTTTTGCTTTGGAATCTCTTTTGATTGTGGTAGTTTTCTTTCGATTCTCATGGGTTTTCAGATACTCTTTCATATGTTTGCAGGCAGCTGCAGTTACCCCTTTTCCTCTCCTATTCTTGGGCGCCTTACGGCTCCTGGCATCTCCCTGCTTCCGTTGCTGTCTCCATGCCTGTACGTGGTGGTGGAGAGCAGCCTCCTGGCTTTGCCTCCAACTGGAACTGCTAGGGTTTCCCTTTTCAGTGTCTTGCTGCTTTGGGCTTAAATTCATTCCAGTTCTACTTTGCTGTGTTTTTAGCACAAAAGGGCAACAAATTTAGACAAATGCCTCTTCAGTGTCTGTCAGTTCAGATATTAACTCAGGATGGATCTTGAACCATCCTTGCATTCTGACAAACTCCAGTTGATCATGATATGTCTTCTCTTTGATGTGCCATTAATTCTGTTGCTTAACATTGTATGTAGTATTTTTACATTGAGATTCATGACTGAGATTGACTTTTTTTTTGATACCTCTATCTCAGGTATCAATATTGTACCTGTTTCATAATTTTTTTGGTCTCCCTCTTCCATGCTGCAGAACAGCTTTAAAGTAGCCTTGAGATCATCTGGCCTTGAGAGGGTTGATAGAATTTGGTTGGCTGTGTGTGACCATCTGTATCTCTGTTACTTTTTCTAACTCATCTGTGGAAATTAGGCCATTTTGAGCTTCTATTTCTGTTGGAGTCAGTTTGGGTAAATTTGTATTTTCCTACAAAATTGTCCATCCTAACCAGGCTTTCAGATTTGCCTACACAGAGTTGTAGAAAGGGGTCTCTTTCTCCCCTTCTCCTGTGACAGTAACTCCTCCCTTGTTATATCTTATTTTGCATTTTTGTTACTTCTTTTCCTTGATAAGGTTACCTAGTGGTTTGTCTATTTTTTTTCCAGACTCACTCTTTATTTTATTTGCCGTATTTTTCAGTTTTACAAGTCTTTAATTTTAATTTGTTCATCCTTTGACCTGATTTTCAAGTTTTTTTAATTTTATTATTTTCTTTCAAAATTTGTATTGATATAAATATTTAAGCCACAGATATTCTTCTGAACCCTGCCTTAGCTGTATAACCCATAGAACAGGCATGTAATATTTGATACTATTATCTAGAAATTCTGTAATCGAATGAGTATTTTTTCGTTTTGTTTTCTGTTTTTCTGGTCAAAGGTCCTTTTCTCTTCCATTTCACCTTGACTTTGAGTTTGGTGCATTGAGGTCAGAGGTTATTCATGCTATTCTGCTTATAAGATTTATTGAAGTATTCGTTGTGTGTTGAGGTAAGGTCAAAGTTTGTGAATATCCCATATGTACTTGAGAAGATAAGGCCTCTGTACCTGGGGTAGAGAACTTGACGCAGCACATGAGGTCTGCTGTGCTGTGACGGCATCAGCCACACGGGGGGCTGGGTCAGCTCTGCCTTCCTCTGGTTCCTCTGGCTCCTGTCTCCTCTCTTGTAGCATCTGCTTAACAGAAGGTGCTGCCCTGTTCCTTGGTGCGTAGATACTCACAACTGTTGTATCTTCCCTGTGGATTTGTGGGACAGCAGCCTTTCCGGCTGTGAACTGTTGTCCTCTGCACCTGGGATTCGCTGCCCTTAGTTCTCCCCAGTAGCAGCAGTCCTACTCTGCTTTTTTTTTTTTAATCTTTTAAAGAATTTTTTTGGTTGCACTGGGTCTTCAGTGCTGTGCATGTGCTCTCTCTAATTGTGGTGGGCCAAGGCCACCCTCTAGTTGCCGTGCGCAGGCTTCTCACTGCGGGGGCTTCTCTCTTGTTGCAGAGCACAGGCTGTGGGTGCGCAGGCCTCAGTAGTTTAATGCAGCTTGCAGGCTGTAGAATGTGGGCTCAGTAGTTGTGGCGCTTGGGCTCAGCCGCCTTGCAGCACGTGAGACCTTCCCCGACACGGATCAAACCTGTGTCCCCTGAGTTGGCCAGCAGGTTCCTCACCACTGGACCGCAGGGAGGCCCAGCCCTGCTCTGCTTTGTCTGATGGTGGCTGGCGTGCCTTCACCCATTCTTTCTACTGGCTTAGTCTTTCTGACTCTGCTTTCACAGTGTAGAGTTGGGTTTTGGTCTGTGAGTCAGTCTCTAAGTCTCATTAATAGAGGAAATTAAAGCCATTTACATGGACATGATCGACACAAGGTAGCCTTGCAGACTTCTGCCACCCACCGGGGAGGGCCTACCTCTCTACATATTCTTTTGCTTTCATTTTCCACTTGGTTTTTATGAAGCTTAGGTTTTTGGCCTGGTTATTGTTTCATGCATACTGATGGAGCTGGTTTACTCCTTTGCTGCCTGCTTTGTCCGCTGCTTTATGTAATTTTATTTGTTTTTGGCTGTGCTGCGTCTTCGCTGCTTGGACTTCTCTCTGGTTTTGTAAGCAGGAATGGGGGCCCCTCCCCAGCTGTGGCGCGCGGGCCGCTCGTTGCGGTGGCTTCTCTTGTTGTGGAGCACAGGCTCTAGGCTGTGTGGGCTCAGCAGTCCCGATTCCTAGGCTGCAGAGCACGGGTTCCACGGTTGTGCAGCATGGGCTTAGTTGCTCCACAGCCTGTGGGATCTTCCCAGATCAGGGATCAATTCTGTGTCTGCTGCATTGGCAAGCAGACTCTTCACCACTGAGCCACCGGGGAAGCCCTGCTTTGTCTGTTGCTGAGACTGCATTATTCTCCCCTTGTTGTCCCAGAATCTCCACTGAACACACAGCAGCAAGTCAGGCAGTCCACACGCCTGCACTGATGAGCGGATCCTGACCACTCACTGCATCCCAGGAAGGGGAGGGCGAGCACAGCACTGGGGAGACGGAGCTCTGTGCTGCTCTGCCGAGGCCATGCAGAGGCAGCCCTGGTCAGCAGTGACTCCTGTTGCCAAAGGCCTGAGGATTGAAACTCTCCATGTCCTGCTGTGATGAGAGCTGCATTTCCTACTGCCCTCTGCACTTCTGTTACTCACCAGGCACTGAGGCCACCAGGCCAGGACTCCTGACCCCTCACGGCTGAGAGTTCAGTCTCTCAGTCGAGTCCGATTCCTTGCAGCCGATGGACTGTAGCCCTCTGGGTTCCCCTGTCCGTGAGATTTCCCAGGCAGCCATGCTGGAGTGGGTTGCCACTTCCTTCTCCAGGGGATCTTCCTGACTTAGGGATCGAACCAGCACCTCCTGCATTGGCAGATGGATCTTTACCACTGCACCAGGAGGGAAGCCATTCCTTCTGCCACCACAAGTCACATTTCTGCAGTCATTGTTCAGCTTCCAGGACCAGAGCCTCTCCCTTCCAGGGCAAGACCTAGGGCCAGCTCATCAGTCCGAGGCAGCCCTGTCGCCCCTGTCAGCGCTCACTCTTCCTCTCTCTTCTTCCTCCCCAAGGCCTAGTGTTCTTATTTTCCCTGAAGCAACTAGGCTTCTGTGCCTGGGAACTTGTAGAAGCTTCTCTTCATCCTCAGGATTAGAGGATTAATTTTCCCCAGCGGGGCTGGTGTGGGCAGCCCAGGAGGCCTGGAGGATAAGTATGAGTGTGTTGCAGGAGCCGAGGCACTGAGTGACCACAGACCATGCAGGAAGGGACTCGTTGGCCAGGCCTGCAGCCTGGCATGCTCCAGGGGCAGCTGTTAGATGAACCTGCCAGGGCCTCCGCCTGACCATCTCCTCTGTGGTCTGCTCCCCCAGGGCGGCAAGGAGTACCTGATGCGGGCCCACTTTGGCCTGCCCAGCGTGGAGGCAGAAGACAAGGAGGGCAAGCCCCCGATCAGCGTCAAGTTCGAGATCCCCTACTTCACTACCTCTGGCATCCAGGTATGTGCGACCAGGGCTGCCGGAGCCCCGGAGCAGACATGGACAGGCCCCGTGGGGCCTCTCAGGGACCAGGCATCAGTCCAGGCTCAGAGGGTTGAAGGTGACAGACACCAGTCAGCCAGTTAGCAAAGGGTACTAGCTGACTTGTCCTGGTGCTCTGAGCGGCTTCCCAGCCCTGCCCATCTCCATGGGCAGCCTGGCCCTGATGGGAAGAGGCCCGCAGTGTTCTACTCAGACCTGACCTGTGCTCCAAGCTCAGAGATGCATTCAGCCCCCAAAACTAATGTTCACACACTTGCCACCGTGGGGCCCATTTTCCTGGGCACCTCCACAGAAGACCTGTATGGGGCGAAAAACCCTGGGATTGGCCCCTTCTCTAGGAATCTGCTACAGGGTCATGCCTGCGAGTGCACATCTGGCTCTTTGCCACACCTTCTAGAAGCATCTCCACTGTCCCTCGGCCTGAGTGTGATACAGGCTAAGGTGCTTTACCCTCTCCTTGGCCCTCTTGGTCACAGCCCAGCCCCGGGAGGAATGACGGTGGGCAACCGGGAGTGGGGGTGGTATGTGCATGCTTAGGGCCCTGATGCTGTGCCCCAGGTGCGTTACCTGAAGATCATTGAGAAGAGTGGCTACCAGGCCTTACCGTGGGTCCGTTATATCACTCAGAACGGAGGTACGTGGGACCTGCCCGTGGGGCAGGTGGGGGTGCTGAAAAGGTCCCTGGTGGGCGTGGGGAAAAGCCCCAGGGTCAGGGCAGGTGGGGGTGGCCCCTCCTCCAGGGTCAGAGCAGACAATGGACGCCCCCTCCCTCTTTCTAGATTACCAGCTCCGGACGCAGTGAGGGGCCGCGGTGGCCTACGATCCCAGCACGGGGCCCCTGGTGGAAGCGCCTGCCCAGCCTGCTGAGGGGAGGGGCCCTCCTGGACCCCGGCGCCCCTCCAGGCCCCACCCAGGGGCCCCTCCTTCTCCAGGCTCACCTGCTCTGCCATCTCCACTCACCTCCCGGGTCCCCTTTTCCCAGAAGAGGCTCGTCTTGAAGAGGTCTTGTCTCTCAGCCCCTGAGTCAGTCTGGGGGGCAGGAAAGACATCGTTCCCTCCAGAGGTCAAATACAGCCTTCTGTGCTGTCCAGCTCCCAGTCACACAAGACTGGGAAGCGCTGCCCAGGCCGCTCTTCAGCCAGGCTGGCGGGGCCGCCGTTGTGTTGCCATTCTGTTGAACGTTGTGGGTTCATCGAGCATTCCTAGATTTTGTCTCGGTCTGTCGCTGGTTACGTGACCCTCCCCGTCTGCACCTCCCTCCCCTGGCCTGAAGCTCTCAGGCAGCACTTAGCGAGGACAGGCTTCCCCGTCCTCGCCCTTCTCCCCTGTGAGGCTGTCGCCGGGCCACCTTCCCAGCGCCTGGCCCTCCGCCTAGAGGCTCCTGGTCTGGAGCTTTGAATAGGGACGCCTTCTCAGGGCCAGCCCGTGCCACGTGACGCTGTCCCTCAGCCACAGCAGTGTTTGTCCCACCAGGGGAAGCGGGCTCCGGCGCGGGCCCCCAGCCTCAGAGGGTGGGGCCACAGGCCGTCCCCATGTGTGCTTGGACACCGCCCCCCACCCTGTCCGTGTTTGTGTCATGAGTACATTAAACGCCATCGGTTAAACATGCCTTCCTTCTGGTGCAGCGCTGTGCTGACTCCTGGGTGCCCCGGAGAGGGGCGGGCTCACACCAACCTGGGTGTGGCACCAGTTCCTGAGGCCCCCACGTCCCCTGGGGAAGACGGGACCAGGCAATGAGCAAGCAGAGCCATTTCCCAGGGGCCTCCCAGAGGGGCTGCAGAGGGGAGGGCACATGGGCACAACGTTTCCCTCTCATCTGAGGTGACCATTACAACCCTCACCCCTCAAAGCACCAGCAGCCTGCTCCCCTCCCCAGCCCACTGGTCTTCCTCAAGAGTGTGGTCCTGCTACCAGCAGCATCAACATCCCACAGCACATGCAGGTTCACAGGCGCCCTCCTTTATCTGCCGAGGCAGTGTCTGGAGATGGGACCCAGGAGACCGGCTAACAGGCTCTGCATGTGAGTCATACGTGCACTGGAGTCTGAGGGCCGCTGCCTGGTCCGTAGAGGGGGGTCTCAGCAGGGGCGTGGGCAGAAGACAGCTTGTCTTCCCACTGCAGTCACACGCCTGCCCCCTCCTGCCTCCAAGGACCGTGCTTTCCTTTCCCTCTCCCATATCTCCCAGCTCCCCCTTGGACGTCTAGTGGGCGTCAGCCCGAGTGGAGTCTTGGTCGTCCACCACATGGAGGAAAGGACGCTGCCCTGGCCCAGGGCTCAGGTTAAAGTCCTTATAGGCACCCCTGATGCCCCACCCCTCACTGCCATGCCCGCATCTGCAGCAAGCCCTAGTGACCCCCTCCAGAAGACCCTGGGGAACCACAGCGTACAAAGAGACAGTGGCCAGAATTTCCCCAGACTAATGAAAATCTTTAAATTCTCAGATTCAGGAAACCAGTGAGCCCAAATCAGGATCAATAAACCTAAGTCTGTAACTAAAACACATCACAGTCAAAACACAGAACATCAGACACTGAGTGAAGAGTATAAAAGCAATGCAAAGAAGATTAAAAACACAGAACACACACACACAAAAAAGAAGAAAAAAACAGGCTGAGAGCTGGCTTCATGATGGCAACAATGCTCAGATTGCTCAGAGAAGATGACCAATCTTGATGACCAATTCTGTGCCCGGCTAAGCTGCAAGAGAACAAGTTGAAACGTTCAGCAGTTACAGACCCTCAATGAAGCAGCGTGTGTACTTCAGGGAGATTCAGAGGCTTCCCTAGTGGCTCAGTAGTAAAGAATCCGCTTGCCATTGCAGGAAACGCAGGTTCAATCTCCGATCCGGGAAGATCCCACGTGCTGCGGGATCAGCTAAGCCCATGCACCGCAGCTGTTGAGCCTGTGCTCTGGCGCTCCGGGACCGCAACTACCGAAGCCACTGTGCTGTAGATCCCATGCTTCGCAACGAGAAAAGCCACCGCAATGAGAAGCCTGCTTACTGCAACGAAGAGTAGCCTCCACTCTCACCAGAGAACAGCCCTCTCACAGCAGCGAAGACCCAGCACAGCCAAGAGCATGTAAAATTATTTTTAGAAAGATTCAATGCACGAGGAAGGAAAGAGACGAGGAATGCTGAAAAACTTGGAAGCCATTGGGAATATCTAAACTCTCATTGACTGTATATAAAGCAGTCGTAATATTGAAGAAGTAATGTCTGAGTAGTAACCTAAGGTACAACTAACATTCTGCACAGCTTAGGTAGTTGACATCAGTGGCTCCCAAGGTCTTTATACTGTTTGGGAGGAAAATGGACTAAAGTCTAAAAAAACCAGCGGTTTGGAAAGGATTTAAAGAAAATTTTAACGAACCAACAGGAGAGAGAAGCATAGGAAAATCAGAATAAATGCACATGTCCTAAGACTCTTAATGATAAAGAGCACTTAGAAGTGCACCACATGAGATTTCCCTGGTGGTCCAGTGGTCCACACTTCCAGTGCAGGAATGCAGGGGGCACAGGTTTGATACCTGGTCAGGGAACTAAGATCCCACATGCCACGCAGCGTGGCCAAAAAGAAAAAACTGCACTACAACTTTTCATTTTGTGCCACAGAAACTGCAAAATAAGGTTGTAAAAATAAATACAAACATTAGGAATCATACACATAAATGTAAATGATGCAAACCTGCTAGTTTAAGATACTGTTAAAGAGACTGAACTAAAATTCCAAATCCAGCTATATGCCCTGTTTATGAAATATGGGCTGAGTCACTTCAGTCATGTCTGATTCTGTGACCCCATGAACTGTAGCCCGCTGGGCTCCTCTGTCCATGGGATTCTCCAGGCAAGAATACTGGAGTCAGTTGTCATTTTCTCCTCCAGGGGAGCTTCCTGACCCAGGGATCAAACCCATGTGTCTTATGTCTCCTGCTTTGGCAGGCGGGTTCTTTACCACTAGCGCCTCCTGGGAAGCCCATTTATGAAATACACTACCTAAAACAGCACAGTTAAAAGTAAAAAGATGCTAACATACCAAGATAAATCTTACGTAGTTATATTAATATCAGACCAAACAGACCTCAGGCAAAAAAAAAAAAGTGATAGACCCTGAAAAAGTTTTCACAAATTTGTAAGAATTCTTAGTATTAGAGTCTACATTCTCTAAGAAATTCTCAAGAGAATTGAGTTAGAATTAACAACAAATTAGTTTTTTTTTAATTTCCAAATATAATTAGTTTTTAAAGAACACTTCTGAATTACCATGTGTCAAAGAAGAAAATGTAATGGAAATTAGAAAATATTAGGGAATTTTTTTAATCTGGATGCAGGTTACAAAAGTGGTCTTACTTTTGAAAATGCATCAACCACTTATGATTACTCACTCTTCTGTATATAACATTTCAGTAAAATGTTTACAGAAAAAACTAAAACCTTTAAAGCAGCCAGAGGGGGAAATACTAAGTTCAAAAGTGTGACAGTGCGGTAAACAGCTTACTTTACATCAGCAACAAAGGAAGCCAGATGAAAGCAAAGCGACATTTTCAGCATGCTGAAAGAAAACTGCCCACCCAACAAAAACATTCAAGACTGAGGTTGAAATAAAAACTTTTCAGACAAAACCGTTAGTTTGCCAGCAGCCGACTCACGCTAAAGAAAATATTAAGTTCTATTACTTCAGCCAAGAGGAAAGTAATGGAAGGTCAAGATGCAAGAAGGAGCAAGGAATAAAGTAAATACATGTGAAAACGTAAACCTAGGTTGCGTAAAACAATGTTTCCTGAAGTTAAGAAAAATGATAGAATTAAAATATACACAAGAAAAAAAACACGTCCTGAGGTAGTAAATGGAGTTAAAGTTTTCCAAGTGCATGATTGTGAGGGAGGCCAGTAAAAACACTGATGAAATCTGCATTTTTATAAGCATGCATTATCATTCTAAGGGCTTCTCTGGTGGCTCAATTGGTAAAGAATCCGCCTGCAATGTGGGGGACCTGGGTTCAATCCCTGGGGTGGGACGATCCCCTGGAGAAGGGCATGGCTACCCACTCCAGTGTTCTTGCCTGGCGAATCCCATGGACAGAGGAGCCTGCCAGGCCACAGTCCACGGGGTCCCACAGTCGGACTCGGCTGAGAGACTAAGCGCAGCACATTATGTTTTCTAAGGGAATCACTAAAATAATAAAACAATTGCAATTTCCAAATGTTCCGAGGGAAAGCAATGATTTTTTTAAAGCCACACACACACAAAACAACCTAAAAGATGGCCAGAGAAGGTAAAAAGGAACATAAGGGGTAGAAACAGCAAACAAAACAATACGGTAGATTTAAACCTAGGTTTAAGTGTCAGATCAGTTCTGACATTAAATGTAGATGGGCTAAATATTCCAGCTAAAGGTCAGTTTGTCACGCTGGATTTCTTAAAATTCCAACTTTGTTATTTATAAGAGATGCATCAAAACCATAAAGATGCAGACAATTTAAAAATAATAGGATGGGGGAAATAACCATAGAAATACCAAAAGAAAGCTGGAATGGTTAAGTTAATATTAGACAACATATGCTTTAAGGCAAAATCTTTGCTGGAGATAGAGAGGGACATCATAATAAAAATAATAAAAGATTTACTTCATTAGGAAGATAAAATTTTAATTTGTGTGACCCTAATAACATGGTCTCAAAATACATAAAGCAAAAATTGACACTACTACAAGGATAGTTAAGTCCACAGTAAGAATGAGCAATTTAAATTCCTCGCTCTCAGCAATTGATGGAACAAGTAAACCCAAAGAAGTAAAGAGAATATTTGAACAGTACAATTAATTTTACGTAATGGACCTGTATTTGTGGAACACTGTACTCAGCAACTACAGAATACATTTCCCTTTGAAGCACAGACTGTGTTATAAAGCAAGACTGAAGGAGATAGTCCCTTGGCCAAATGCTGCTTAGTTAGGAGTCAGTTTTAAAAACGAGAAAAATCTCCATTCTTTGGGAACAAGTTTTAATAATACATTGATGAAGGAATTCTAGGAAAATTACGGATTTTTAACCGAAAAGTAATGAAAATACTGCATTTCAAAACTTGTGTAACGCAGCTCAACTAGCACTTTGAAGGAAATTTGTGAGGCCTTAGGTTTATAAATACTAGATATTACGATATATGCTTATGTAATGTATGTTGCATATATGTAATATATAATGCATGCTGCACGCTAAATCACCTCAGCCATGTCCAAGTCTTTGTGACCCTATAGACTGTAGCCCGCCAGGCTCCCCTGTGCATGGGATTCTCCAGGCAAGAACACTGGAGTGGGTTGCCATCCCCTCCTCCAGGGGAGCTTCCCGACCCAGGGATGGAACGGCATCTCTTACGTCTCCTGCATTGGCAGGCAGGTTCTTCACTACTGCTGCCACCTGGGATTCCCATATACTACGACATTATGTATAAAATAGGAAGACTTTTGCAGCCAGCCTCATGGGCTGTAACCAGCAGGCTCCTCTGTCCATGGGACTTCCCAGGCAGGAACACTGGAGTGGGTTGCCTCTTCCTTCTCCAGGGATCTTCCTGACCCAGGGATTGAACCCACGTCTCCTGCATTGGGTGGCAGATTCTTTACCACTGAGCCGCCTGGAAAGCCCACTGTATGTAAAATATAAAAGAATGAAAAGAATGAGCTTAGCATCCATCTCAAAAAGTTAGAAAAAATAAACCTACGAGCATAGAAAGGAAATAACAAAGAACAGATATGAGGGAAATAGAAAGCTTTCAATAAAGAGAATCAATAAAACATGTCGGCTATTTAAAATTGAAGATCTTCTGGAAATTTTGAACAAGATACAGGCACTAAGGCTGTTATTAGAAATGGGGGAGAAACATTATTACAGCTTAAAAGTATTAAAAAGATGAGCACAGGGCATGTGCCTGCCACTTCACAAAGACACTGAGTCCACTTTCTGGCCACCAAGTTGTGTGCCCAGCTTGGACTTCATCCACACTGGGGAGAGGTATGTTTTTCTGATCCTCCTGAATTAAACTATATGGGCAAGAAGAGCACTGAATAAAGAGAGATTATGAACAACTTTGTGCAAGCAAACTTGAAAATTTTAGATACCTTCAATAAATTCCTGGAGGGGAAAAATATAAACTCAAAAAGAAGTTAAAATCTAAATAGTCCTATAACTACTAAAGAAATTAAGCTAGTCAGAACTCCAAATCCAAATGACTTTATTGGGAAAGTTCTACCAAGCATTCAAGGAAAAAAAAAAAAGAATTTCACAAACTCTCCCAAAGAATAAATAAATATGAAACACTCGTTTTATGAGACTAGCATGTCCCTGAAGCAATATGAGACAAGAAAATTATAATCTCTCTCAGTGAGATTAGATGTGACCATAGATGTAGAAATCCTAAATAAAATTCCAGGGATTCAGGGCAGGTGGTGTCATGTATAGAAAGGACACTCCGTTGTGACTAAATTCAGGTTAAATCCTGGGAAGGCAAAGTTGGCTTCATACTGGAATATCAGTCCACTGGCAATGTATAAAGTATTTGATAAAATTAAACATTCATTCATGACTTAAATGAATAAACAACCCTTAAGCAAACTACAGGGCTTCCCTGGTGGTTCAGTGGTAAAGAACCCACCCAGAGACACAGGAGACACAGGTTCGATCCCTGAGTCGGAAAGATCCCCTGGAGAAGGAAATGGCAACCCACTCCAGTATTCTTGCCTAGGAAATGTCAGGGACAGAGAAGCCTGGTGGGCTACAGTCCATGAGGTCACAAAGGGTCAGACACGACTGAGAGACTGAACTCTCAGCCATGAAGGCCCAGGAGTCCTGGCCTGGAGGAGGGTATGGCAACCCACTCCAGTATTCTTGCAAGGAGAATCCCATGGACAGAGGAGCCTGGTGTGCCGCAGTCCATGGGGTCACCAAGAGTCTGACACGACTGAGTGACTAACACACACACATGGTTAGATATACCCTGAGTATAGAGTCACAATATCAAAGACACCAGCACTCACGGGTTCTCAAAGGGTCGAACTCAACTTACCAACTAAACAGCAACACTTCTTGTGGAAGGCAGAAGAGTGCTTCCCCCTGCCCCGACTCAAGATGCCCACATTCTAATCCATCAAATCTATGAATATGTTAAGTTATATGGCAGAGGGGAGTTAAGTTTGCCAATGGGATTGATTGCTAATCAGCTGAGCTCAGTAGGGAGATTGCCCTGAATAACCTAGGTGAGCCCAGCATAATTACAGTAGTCCTTAAATGTGGAGGAAAGTGGCAGAAGAGGAGGAACCCGAAAGTGGCCGTGTGTGAGGGACTCTGCCTAGTGCTGCTGGGCTTTGAAGATGGAGGAAGGGGTCATGGGCCAAGGACACAGGCAGCCTCTAGAAGCTGGAAACACTGAGGAGATATATTCTCCTGTAGAGACCCCAGAAAGGATACTTTCCTGCTGATAACCTCGCTTGTTAGCCTGGTGAGGCCCATTTTAGACTTCTGACCTCCAGAACTGTTAGGTTCATCCATCTGTGTTGTTTTAACCTGGTGATTTGTTACCGCAGCAATGAGAAACTAATACACTCCTCAAATTGAATTACAGATTAAATGCATTTCCCAATAAAATCTCCATCAGGTTTCTGTGAGACTTGACAAACGAATCCAGAAATGGACATAGAAGGACTTCTCCAGTGGTCCAGTGGTTCAGTATCCGCCTGCCAGTGCAGGGGACGTGGGTTCAATCCCTGGTCCGGGAAGATTCCACGTGCCTTGGACCAACTAAGCCCATGCGCCACAAGTGCTGAAGCCCACACACTGTAGAGCCCGTGCTCCACAGCAAGAGAAGTCGCTCCTGCTTGCTGCAGCTAGCACGGAGCCCCCATTCTCGGCAACTGGGGAAAGCCCAGTGCATCCAAAATTAACCAATTAAATGTACATAGAAGATCAGAGGGCCAAGAAGAGGGATCTTAATAAGATGGGATGGCTTTCTTAGCTGGGCCCCAAGACCTACTCAGTGAGCAGTAATTCAGACACAAAATAACATAGTGTGATTCCTTTGGGATGAAGTTTAAAATCAGGCTTAACCTAAACAGTATTCTTCAGGGATGCTTCTAGAGTAAGAGAAAACCTCTAAAGAGTGAGATGAAGATAAGTCAGAGCACAGCTACTGGGGGAGTGGGGAGGAGAGGAGAAGGACCAGAGGATGTGGGTTGGGATGTTGGTTGTATTCTATTTCTTTTTTTTTTAATTGGAGGATAATTGCTTTACAACGTTGTGTTGGTTTCTGCCATCCATCAACATGAATCAGCCATAGGTATACATATGTCCCATCCCTCTTGGATCTCCCGCCCACCTTCCACACCTCCAGGTTGTTACAGAGCATTGGGTTGATGTGTTATACAACAACTTTCCATTAGCTATCCATTTTACATATGGTAATATATATATTTCAATGCTACTCTCTCAATTTGTCCCACCCTCTCCTGCCCCCACTGTGTCCATAATCTCTTCTCTATATCTGAGTCTCTATTCCTGCCCTGCAAATAGGTTCGTCAGTACCATTTTTTCTAGATTCCATACATGTACATTAATATACAATATTTGTTTTTTCTCTTTCTGACTTACTTCACTCTAATAACAGGCTCTGGGTTCATCCACCTCACTCAAACTAACTAAAATTCATTCCTTTTTATGGCTGAGTAATATTCCATTGTGTATATGCACCACAACTTCTTTATCCATTCATCTGTAGACAGACAGCTAGATTGCTTCATGTACTGGCTGCAGTAAATAGTACTGCAATGAACACTGGGGTACATGTGTGTTTTTCAATGATGGTCTTCTTGGAGTTTCCTTAGTAGTGGGATTGTTGGATCATATGGTCGTTTTATTTTTAGTTTTTAAAGAAATTTCCATACTGTTCTCCATATGGCCGTATCAGTTTGCATTCCCACCAACAGTGCAAGAGGTTTCCCTTTTCTCCACATCCTCTCCAGCATTTATTGTTTATAGATTTCTTGATAATGGCTATTCTGACTGGTGTGAGGTGACACCTTATTATAGTTTTGATTTGCATTTTTCTTATAATAAGTGGTGCTGAGCGTTTTTTCATGTGTTTATTAGCCATCTGTATGTCTTCTTTGGAGAAAAATCT